GGTCTTCTGTACCGAAAATAACTTTACAAGGTCCTCTATACCTTTCAGAGGCCTTTAGAAGCTTTGCATATATTTCGGAGCTTCTGGAGGTCATATAGGCCCATAACACTTTTTAGAGGTCTTCCATGGCCAAAAGAACCCTATTTAGAGGTTTTTGTGGCCAAAAGAGCTTTTAAAGATTGTGTAAGCCCAAAAAGGATTTTTGGGGGTCAACAATGGGCAGAAGACCTCTCCGAAAATTTTTGTAGCTACAAGACACGTTCTAAGTCTTCTGTAGCTTGAAGACCTTTAAAAGGTGGTCTGCATCTTGAAGAGCTTTCAAATGTTTTGTATAGCTAAAGAAGCTTTCAGAGGTCTTCTATATATCCCAATGATTTTTTGAAGTTTCTCAAAAGACAGAGGACCTATAAAACGACTTCTGTAGCCAGAAGAAATTTCAAAGAGTCGTCTACAACCAGGAGTTCTTTAAAAGGACCTCTGGCTACAAAAAGAATACTCAAAAAAGCCTTCTGGATATAGAATATTGGCCTTCCATGACTAAAAGATTTTTTTCAATTCTTCTACAGCTGGAGATAATTTTTCAAGGCCCTTTTTTGTTTCCATTTGTCTACCTCACCCATCCCCCCTCATCCGTTCTCTAATCCAACTCAAAAAAGTCTTCTGTTTACAGATTAACTTTAAGAGGCCTTCTATGACCAAAAGACTTTACAATTCTTCTACAGCTGGAGATAATTATTCAAGCTCATTTTTGATTTTCTTTGTTTCCCTCGTCCATCCGCCTTTCAACCTTTTCCTCATCCGAAACAAATATTTCCACTGCAAAAATTAAATAAATTGCCGATAAGAACGTTGATGAAATGAATATTGAGAAAACGGAAATCTATTCCAAAATGAAACGGGAAGTGAAAAGTGACAGTGACACATAACAATGTAGCACCTCAAAATAACACAAACAACAATCACAACAACAGAAAACTGGATGGCAAGTTGGATTCTAAATTCCAATAAATTTGTTTGTGTATCTGTGATTGTGTGTGTGTGTGTATCGGTGGCGATGGCGATGGCCATACTAAGAGGGAGGCTAAGTTGTTGTCCTTTTTTTCATTTTGTTTTCTTTTGTGCTACTCGTTTATCGTTGTCGTCTTCTCTTTAACAACAAATATTCCGATGACAGTTATGTCAAAGTTAAGCCAGAGTAAACTCAGCAGCACCAGAAGCAGAGACATCAGGAATAGAGAGGTAACAGCCAGCCAGCCAGCATCGGCATCATTCATCCATCATCTGGTCTGGTAGACTGCATGTCTGTGTCGTGTTAATGTTTATTGCATGAACGTATGTATGTATTTGCGTATTTCTTTGTGTGCGTGTATGTGTGTGTTCCTTCAAATTACATTTTATTTTCATTTATCTCCCAACCGAGCGAGCCAACGACGAAGAGCAAGGAGAGCTAAACAATTTACATTGCCGCTTGAAGTTTTGCAAATACCCACAACAACGACAACAATAATAATAACTGGCGAGTAAACTCTGGGTGTTGTAAGTCCACATGTATGTGTGTGTGTATGTGTGAGAGTCTGTGTATTACTCTATCTTTCTCTAACGCATCATAACACGAGAGAAGGCCGACCTCAAACTCGAACTCATTTACATGTTGTTCGTGTTGGGTGTTTATTTTTAGAAAAGCCTCCCAGCCAACAACAAACATTTCAACTTTTCTGCCACGCTTCGTTGTTGGTTAAGGTTGGCCGGTTCGTTTCCCCAAAACTCTGATTAGAATTCGCATATACATTTTCATTTAATTTTTATTTCATATTTTTTTCGGGGGAATTATCAACTCAATTTAAATTTTTAATTGAATCAAAGAGAGACTCCCAAACACATACACACATGCGGATGTAAAACTGCAGGGCACACACTCACACATTTGCACTTTTGTTTCCTGTATTAATTGATGATCCCCGAAGTAGTTGATGACAGCGTGCATGGGAAATTGATTTGTTAGCAAGTTGTCCATGAATACGAAAATTTTCCATTTCATAATAGATTTATAAAACGGGAGGAACTTTTCGGGGATCTGTGTGTCAAATGGATTGAAAGAATCATTAATTTTTCGTTCTTTTACTCGAATGGATCAATTTAAATTCTAGAGTTGAAGGATAAATCTGCAAATTGTGGGAGGAGTATGTAAACAAAATTTACAGTTTCATTATGGCGCCCAACGGATTTTCACAGATGTTTGTTAAAATTCTCTTGGGAAAAAGAAAAACTGCTTTGGGAGGTGGATGTGTGACTGACTGATATAGACAAAGCCCAGATGAAATTAACAAAATCCGAGCCTTAAAATTATAGTCTTGGCGCTGAGTTTGTGGAAATTTGACCTCAGGGGTAAGCGCAAACCAGATCAATTCTTTCCAACAGAGCTGTATGAAGTAGAAGTATTTGAAGAGCATTAAGAATTCCTTCAAGTAGTAATTTAGAGGTCTTCTGTATCGAAAAGAACTCTTCAAGTTCCTCTCCTTCTCTATATTTTTTGGAGCTTTGCACAGCTTTTGGAAGCCGTATATACCCGTAACACTTTTTAGAGATTGTCCATGATCAAAAGAACTTATTGAAAGGTTTCTGTAGCCAAAAGAGCTTTTAGAGGTCGTCGAAGCCCAAAAAGGCTTTTAAAAGGCAACTATGGTCAGAGGACCTCTCCGAAACCTCTTCTATTGCAAAAGGTCTTTAAACAGAGGCCTGCTGCTTAAAGAGCTTTCAGACGTTTTCTTTACCTAATACCTAACCACACGATTTTGTTTAGAGGTCTTCCGTATCGAAAGGCTTAACTCTAGTTCAGTAAAAACTCTTCCATTTTTTCCAGTGGTATGTATTTTTACCCTGATACCCGGATACTATTTTTTCTTGGGAGACGAAACCGGACGCCAGAAAAAATTTAAAAAAAAATCGAAAAAATTGTAAAGTATTTACTAAACTTGAGTTGTTCCTATCGAAAATATTATTTTAAGTTTCTCTCCTTTGAGAGGTCTTTGGAGCTTTCCACAGCTTTTGGAGGTCGTATAAACACATGATCAAAAATACATTTCCGTAGCGAACAAAAACATTTAAAGATCGTCTAAGCCTAAAAGGGCTTTTTAAAGGCCAACTTTATTCAGAAGACCTCTTTCAAATCTCTGCGACAAAGGCCTTTAAACGGTGGTTTGCAGCTCTAAAAGACCCTTCAGACGATTTCTTTGGCTAATATATACCTACGCCATTTCACTTAGAGGTCTTCTATATCGAAAATAACTTTTCAAGGTCGTCAATATATTTGAGAGGTCATCTCTATATATTTTGGAGCTTTACACAGCTTTCAAAGGTTGTATACACCCATAACACTTTTTAGAGGTCGTCCATGATCAAAAAGCCTTTTCTGTAACCAAAAGAGCTTTTAAAGATCGTCTAAGCATAAAAAGGCCAACTATTGTCAGAGGACCTCTCCGAAACCTCTTCTGTTGCAAAAGGCCTTTAAACGGTGGCATGTAGCTCAAATTACTACTAGATCTTACACGACGTCAAGAGTTTAAGTCTTACCTAACCCCAGAAATTTATATATACAGGGTGAGATGAAAAAACTGCAACGAACTTCGCACTCAGCAAGCGCCACCCAAGAATGGTTACAAAATGAGGTTCCTTGCTTCATTTCCAGCGCACAATGGCCACCGAAATCTCCGGATACCAATCTGTTGGACTATTGTGCCTGGAGTATTTTGGAAAGCAAGGTTGGCACTAAAAAATACCAAAGTGTCGATCACCTCAAGCAAGCGCTTCGTCGGGAATGGGACAAAATACCGCATAGCACCCGTTTAAAGGAAGTTTTTATCCATATTTTAAAAAAAAGTACCAGAAACATCCCTTTTTGACTCGTTTGAGTGTTAACATTTTTAATCAAAATATTCCTCGTATTTTTATCTGCGATACTGCTGAAGGCACTATATACCTAAAATGCACGGATTCCAAGGAATCTTAATTCGAAAATATTCAAAAGGGAAAATAAGGGGGAATCCGCTTTCTCTATTTTGATTCCTTTTCGATGTAAATTTTTGAAACGCCGATACACGTGTCTTTTTTAGCTCTACTTTCATAACTTGCTGGATTTTCCCCGTAGATCTTTTTTTTGGACAGTGTAATTTACACCTCGTTTTTTTCCTCTATTTATTTTCATTTTTTTATCTCTACTTCTTAAAATATTATCTAAACCCCTTTGAAAAACACTAAAAATAATAAATATGAAAATATTTTCTCAATTGTCGATGGACCTACGTAAACACATATTTTTTATATCATTCCAAGCGATATGTTGTTTTTGCTTGCCCACAAGTGGTACTCACAATAATAATAATTCACTTTTTTAATATATTTTTATTATTACATAAATTGTTTTTATACATTTTTTATAATTTTTTCCCATTTAAACCCATGTTGTTTTTCTATTTCTTCTCCTTTCCTACAACGGCAAACACCATTTGTGATGACACTCTTTAACTTGATTAGTGTTCATCTCAGAGTATGTGTTATGTGTGTGTTTCAACCTGTGTCCGGGACTTAAAGAGAAGAGCATAAATGTGTGTGCCTGTATGTGAGATTAATCAAAAAAAAATAGCGGGTAAATGGTCAAACTGATAAGAGAGAGAGAAAAAGAGCAATACACACACACAAACAAATCATTGCTCAGTGGGCAAGGATGAGTGAGGTTTGACAAAGCAACGGTTATTTGATTTGATTTTTTGTTTTGTTTGTTGTTTTTGTTGTTTCATAACGGATTTGGCATTTAATTTTAAATGGCTGTTACTTTATATTAATTTAATATTCACATAAATTAATTGATTTCTTATTAGAATTATTTGATCATCACAAATGATTAGAGATGGACAGGGGAGAGGTAGAGAGCAAAATGGGAGAGTAGCAGTATGTACTTTTCTTTCGTTATTTTGTTTGTATGTTTAAAAAAAGAGCTCGTTTACCTTTAAAGTGGCGGTTATTCTTATTGTTGTTGCTACTGCTGCTGCTTTCTTTTACTTCATTAGAAGGAAGAATAAGAAGACCGTCGTCGACAGTGAAATGTGGGTGAGTTGTGTTCAATGGAGAATAAAGGTAAGCGCACAATGATGGTTGTTAACGTTGACGTCGCCGCTGCTGTTACCGTCGATGCCGAGATAAGGTGGTTTGCGTGTTTAATTACAATTCGTTATAATTTGTGGCTGTTAAATATGTGACTGCAGTCGTAACCCTATTTAGACATTTCATTGGTAATTAATTCGTTAGCATATTTATTTTCATTAATTCATTACTTCTTTATTTGTTTACGTTTTTTTACTGGGTTTTTCTTATTTTAATAAATAAAACGGTGTTAAAACTTGTTTGAAATATGGCCAGATGAAAGCTTTTTGCGTGGCATTTTGCTGCTACGTTACAAACGGAATTTACTTCATCTCTGGGGAATTCAAGACTTACGATTTATTTCGGAACGGGGACCTTCACAAGTTATGGCCACTGATATACCAGCACATTTAATTTAATTTCGATACACAAAATTATTTTTCTTTTGTTTTGTAAAAACATTTTATTTTTTTTTTAAATTTTCTTCTTTTTCTCAATTTTTTTCTTTTCTCTTTTTATTTACAAAAAATATTTTGTTGGCATTTTTCTTTGGGTTTTAGTTTTGAATTTATTTTTAAAATTCACACTTTCACAGTAATATTTCACTTGAATTTCCATCATCCGTTGCTGGTGGCAGCAGGCCCAATCATAACTTAGTGCTTGGTGCGAGCAAAACGAAACGTAACGAAAACGGGAAAAAAATCTGCGCACGTTATGTGTATCTTTTCCTACTTTTTTGCTTTCTTTGCTTTCGCCTTTACATTTTTGCTTCACTTTCCAACTTTCAAGTTATCCTATCCTGGATTTCTTTGCCTCCATGTTTTTTTTTTCTTGTTGTTTTTGTTGTTCCTCCTAATGGTTTCTTATACTACTGCCATTATCATTACCAAATATCTTCAGTAGCAGCAGCATCAGCATCCCATCATCAGCTGCTAGCAACAATATCCAATTTTTTTTCCTTTTTTCTACTTTTCCGTTTTCTATCCTAGCCAAATTTTTCCAAAAAAAAGCCTAGCATAAAAATAACTGAAATTCCGAATTCCGTAAATCGCGAGTTAACCGTTTGTTTTCAATTTTATTTTGTTTCCCATACACACAACAGTTAACATTCGCGTTTTGTCTACAACTGAATTGTGTTAGCAGTGAATTCCTTTTGAAAAGCTCTCCCAGAGCTCCCTGTTTTTGTAGTAGTGGTTGCTGTTGTTTTTATTTCTTGTGGAAAGGCTTTCTTTCATCTCTGTGTGTGTGACGTTGTGATATTTTGTTTTTATTCCTTCTTTACTTGTGTGTATGGGTATTTTTTTTATTATTGCTGCCTCCCAAAAACCGAAATCCCAGCCAATACATACACACACACACACGAATGTACACCACCTTCCGCAAAATTCCGTTATTGTTGTTATTTGTTTTTCTTTTGGGATGAGTGGTCGTGAGAGCGAACAGTAAAGTGAGTAACTGAGACAATGCCGTTACAGTAGTGGGTTATTTCAAATGGAAATAAATTCTTATTGGAGACATAAATGGGAGCCCTAGAGGGCAAATGTAAGCGGGGAAAATGACCTAGGGGTCCTATAAAACTGAAAAACGACATATTTTGAAATCTTCTATGTTTAACATATGATTTTTACTGCTAGTATAGCTATTAGAAGACCAAGAGGACTTCTATAGCCAATAAAAAAGAAATGGAGATCTTCTTTAGCCTAGAGAAAACTTGGAAATTATCTCATTCGAAAATTTTTGCGAATATAAGGGTTTCACAGAACTGTTATACAACATGCTGCTAACTAAAGTTATTTTTATTAAAAAAAAACGATATTTATGGAATTTTTGTTTGTAACAGTTTTACAAAACTGTTATGCTGCAATGTTTGCATAAATAATAAAGAAATTTTCGTTTCTTTTAAGAAAAATGTAAAATGCTGGTTACGAACAATTGTAGGTATAACAGTTTTTAGAACTGTTATACTATTTTAAATTAAAAAAAAAATAAAGTTTTTACTTAAAAAAATATATGTTTATCCTGTAAGAGTTCTGTATAGTCTTTTATTAAAAATAATGAAGCGCATGATTTAGAAAACTGTTAAATTACATCTTTTTGTATAAACAAAATTAATTTTCAATTGTGCTCATTTTTTCTTTTCTCCATAATTTTTCTTTGTATAACAGTATTTAAAAACTGTTATACTACAATTTTTACATAAATAATAATGAGATATTCGCTTGGTTAAGAATATGACATTTTCGCAATATTTCGAAAGTATAACTGTTATACTATTTTTTACAAAAAACGGCTTTTATTTTTTGCTTGAATGTTTATGTTTAGTTTTATAACAATTTTCACAGCTGATTTACTACAATTTACGCATTTATTGCAATTATAACAGTTTAACAAAACTGCAATACTAAAAGTTTTGTGCAACAACTAAAAATATATTCATTTGCTTTTGAAAATACATTTATATTTATGCAATTATTGTTAGTATACCAGTACTAAAAACTGTTATACTAAAATTTTTATATTAAAATTAAAATATAAAAAACTGTTATACTACATTTCTGTGTATTTTTTTCTATAATTTTTATTTGTTTAAAAAAAAGTTGTGATACTGATGCAATTTTTGTTAGTATAACAGTTGTAACAAATTGTTATACGGTTTTTTATAAAAATTGGAGACATCGTTTGTTTTTAAGACAATATGTGAGTTTTGCACAATGTTTTATAAGTATAACAGTTTTTGAAACTGTTATACTGAAATTGTTTTCACAAAATAATTAAGTGTTTGCCTTTTCTAGAGCATAAAATTTATTTTTAAAACTGGTTTTCTACAATTTTTGTTGTCCTTTCGTGTCTGTAGAACACCACCTCTAACTGTTCTCTTTTGCGACAAAAAATATTTTGATCTACCAATTTTCAACATCACTGTCCATCTTACTGCTTGTTAGCGTACATACATACACGTTAATGTGTATGTATGTATGTGCGTGCGATTGTCTGTACACATTCAAGGATACCAAGCATAAATGTATGCGTACACATTGTTATTTACTCCCTCTCAATGTAATCGTACACAGCTACCACTTGTTTGCCATTTTACTGTTATTTTACTTGAGTTTCATAAATGCTCTCAAGATCTTTTACAACAACAACAACATCAAATATTGCTAACACAGAAAAAAATGCCATGCAAAAGTAACACTTGTTTTCTCAAGAATCAACATCATCATTATTATCGTCATTGTCAAGAGCACTAATATACAGTTATTAGACATGCATTACACACACACTCACTCACACATACACATAATTGTCCACTTTTTTCTTCTTCATAGGTTCACATTTTTACAGAAAAATCCAATCTAACGCCTTGTGGGCACAGTAATGTGGCATGGAGAGAAACACTTTTACTCTTCATTGTTGAATTATTTCGGTCTCTCTCCTACTCTTTCTCTTGCTCACACTTGTTGGGTCTCCAGGAATTTGCCGTTATACTCAAAATATTAATGGTTGGAGAAGGGGTTTACTTTGCGTGTGTGTATATGAGAGAAAGTGAACGAAAGAGAGAGGGAGAGAGACCGATGTGTATTGTTGAGTATTTCATTTGCCTTTAAGCACATAAAAGCTTTCCATTTCCTTTTTGCCTTCCTGACTGCCAGTGCGTTACATTTTTCAAGCGGAAACAGTTGTTATCCACTAACGTTTTGCAAAAATGTTAAAAATTGAAATTGTCATTTTGGTATTTGCCACAGCAAAGAGTGTGTCTCCGAGTGTCCATGTCTTTTCGAATGCTCTGCCCGGCAATAGGCATTCATTCGAACAAATGCCTGACTGCCTGCCTGCCTGTTTGCTTGCTGTACATTGGAACGTATGCGTGTTATAATGCGCTGGCTAAATATTTGTCATACGTTTAGGCGGCAATTTCCATGAATAGTTGAGGCAGGGAAATGCATGTCATATTCTCATTGTAGCTAAAAGGCGGCGTGTGTGTGTGCGTGTATCCGTTTGTTTACTTTGCTTTGGTATGTGGCGAAAACAATCTTACGCCACAAGCGTGTAATTACAAACAATTAAATGCACGTCGCAACGTTTAGCTGTCCTCAGTCACATTACATGTAATCATCAACTGTTGCGCCTTCCAAGCAATCAGCCAGCCAGCCAGCCAGCCAGCATGGCAGGCATAAAGACAGACAAACGGTTGTTATGTCCATTTGCATGCCAAATTATTTCACATTGACAGAGCAGCGCACAAACACACACACACACACACACCCATTATATTTTCAAGTTCAAAACACTGCAGCTGTAAGAAGAAAGTGAGAGGCCTACCAGAGGGGCTGAGGGAATGGGTTTATGGCAAATAATTGTGTAAACCGTTATATCTGACACAAAGAATTTTTATATCCAATTAATGATTTAAGATTCTAAACGGATATATCGATCGAAATGGTATTAAGGTAATCGACGAGGAAATGCACTAACACGCGTATATAAATTTGACATAGGAGACTAATGTGGGCTTTATAGCCACTTAATTTTCGATATTTGAAAATAAAACTTGACAAATGTTGCCAAACGATTTGGCGAAATATAAAATAGTTTCTTATGAATGAATTCCGTTTAATTACAGTATTCCAGTATATTAACTTTTAGTCTGTGAAATGAGAAGGGCTTTTTCAATAATTAATCAATATTGTAAAAATCGTGTATTTTTACCAGTATAACAGTTTAACAAAACTGTTATACTGTAATTTTTGTGTCGAAACTAAAGTTATTTTCAAGCGTTTTAACACCATTTACATACTTATTAAATTTTTGTTAGTATAACAGTTTTGCAAAACTGTTATACTAAATTTTTTTCGTTAAAACTTAAGCCATTTTCGTTTATATTTTAAAAATTGTGATGTTTTCGCAATTTTTGCAAATAAACGGAATTGCAAAACTGTTATACTACATGTTTTGTTTATAAAATCAAGTAAGTTTCATTGGTTTTTAAAACCACAGTTTATGCCAGTAAAATGGTTATACAAAACTGATAGTATACCAGTTTTGTATAACCATTAACTGGCATAAACTGTGGTTTTAAAAACCAATGAAACTTACATGATTTTATAAAAAACATGTAGTATAACAGTTTTACAATTCTACTATATTTGCAAAAATATTTCCATACAAATTAAATATATTATGCAATTTCTGTAAATATAACAGTATTGCAAAACTGTGATACCAGCAGTTTGTGCAAAAAAAATAAATACATTTCATCGATGTCTAAAAACGAAGTCATACTTATTCAATTTCTACAATTATGACAGTTTTACAAAACTGTTATACTGCATATTTGCTGTAGAAAATAAAGTATTTTTCATTAGTCTTTAACAATGTTGCCAGATGGAAGAAATTTCAGCAAGAATAACAGTCTTACAAAACTGTTATACTGCAATTTTTTGTAGATATTTCAACTATTTTCAACTTTTATAAGAGAAAAAGCTTATATTTCTACAATACTTGTAAGCAAAGCAATTTTGCAAAACTGTTATACGAAACTACTAGTTCAAAATAATAGTTTTTTGTTTTGTAATGAAGTGTATTTATGAAAATTGTAAATGGACAAAACTGTTATATCACAATTTTTATGTGGAAATAATAAGAATTCCCAATTTATTTTTAAAAAAAATATCATTCTCAGGCAATTTTTGCAGGTATAAGAGTTTCACATAACTGTTATACCATTATGTTAGCACACAAATTAAAGACATTTTCATGTGTTTTTAGTGTAGTTACCATATTTATGCAATTTTTTGTAAGTATAATAGTTTTGCAAAACTGTTATACAACTATATTTTCATTAAAATTCAACTTAATAATATTTGTTTATTAAAAACGGTTGTCATATGTATGAAATTTTCGTCAGTATAACAGTTTTACAAAACTGATATACTGTTATTTTTTCCGAAAAAAATCCTGTAATCTTTTATTTTTTTCAAAATTTTTTCATCGTTGTACCGACGTACGACACATATAAAACTGTCCATAAACTGTTATATCAACTCTTTGGTTGAAATATTAACATCGTTGTTTATAAATTGTCTGTTTCCAGCAAATTTGTAACAGTATAACAGTTAAACAAAACTGCTATACCAAACTTTCCGATTGGAATTTTATATTATTTAAATTTTCTGTGACTAACGTAGGCAATTTTTTTCAATTTTCACAAGTATAACAGTTTTACAAAACTGTTATACATATTACTCAAACTAATTTTTAGTATACAAAATTATTTCATTTTTTTTAAAGTATTTTTCTATAGAAAATCATACTTGCCTTTTAGGAGTCTTTTGGAATTCTATTAGCTATAGCGAAAGCCACATCTCCTCTTGACTATAAAATACATCTACTATAGAATTTGCATATATAATGCATCTTGGTCTCCTATTGACTACTGAAGCCTTCTAGGTATTCTGTCGACCATATAATACCTCTAGGTCTCCTTTTGCCTCTAGGCCTTCTTTTGCCTACAGAGTATCATAAAGGGATGCCAGAGCCGCCTTAAAATCCTGCCGTCGTTGTTCCTTATAATTTGGCATTAAAATGCCTAGCCATAATTCCAAGCTTCTTATATGCCCTCACCTTTCTTTCATTGACTAAAGATGACCTCTCAGCCTACTACGGACCATAATTGACATCCTTTGTTTCCTATAGAATACCTTAGGCATTCTATTAACTGTTGAAACCATCTAGGCCAAAAGACTTTTTGATCCAATACCATTCTTTGGATCATCTATTGATGACGACAGCTTGGTCTACCATAAATGAAGTTAGGCCTTCCAACCTTTTAAACAAAGAAACGAACAGTTTTAAACTTTTTTTTTTTAATTTTAACAAAAAAAAATGTTCATATTTATTATTTTGCTTAATAATATTTCATTTAGTTGATTTGAATTTAATAAATAATTTAAAATACAAAAACAATAAAATAGATGATGAAAGAAAAAAAAACACAAATGAAAATGTCGAACAATTTGTCAAAGATTATATAGATTGTTCTTGAAACAATGAAGAACTAGATTGGGATATGAGATAAGTCCATTATTTCAATAATGATTGGTGAGCAAATAAATAGCGCTCACTATCTGCTGTATGAACTATGAAGGCTAAGTATAAAAGTTACAAATGGGTTTCCTTTAAATATGAAAGTATGATGTAGTGAGTACCTAGTCTTAATTGACAACTTCAACTGGAGCATTGGCAGGGGTTTCTTCTTTAAGTTCAACTGCGGGAACGGCTGTAGCTTCAACGGGGCTTTCAACAACTTCTTTTGATTCAGCAGGTGTCTCTGCGGTTTGTTGTTCGGTTGCTGAAACATTTTCATTGCCATTGATGTTGCCATTCTCTTGAGCGGTCGGGGTTTCTTGCTCCTCTTCCCTTACACTAATCGTATCCTCAGAATTGGCTGGTGATGATTCTTTATTGTTGCCGGCATTTACATTATTTTGTTGATTCTTTTTCGATTTGGGCTTTTTCTTTTGCTTCTTCTTGATCGATTCCTCTTGCACCTGCAATTGTTTGCATTGCTCCTCGGCCTCGGCTCCTTTTAGATTTAGCACTTTCATTTGATTTTGTAAATTGGCCAATGTCTGTTTGAGTTCAGCACAATTTTTCGACATAATTTCCATTTTATCCTTATCCGCCACACTGGTAATGGGTTTGGTTTGCATTGGTTCGGGTTCAGCTGGCAAGGCGGGCAATGGAGGCACTTCAACATTATTTTCCTTAATTACTTTGTACAAATGACTGCGTTCGTTTTGTAAAGCTCTAAGCAATTTTTGCAATTGTTCAACCTGTTTGTTGCAACGCATAGCGTGATCATCGCGATCTTTTTTCTCTGTGGCCAATTCGATGAGGGTGGCATTACTCTTCTCCCATTTACGTTTCCATTCAAGGCATTCCTTTTCCAATTTGCGAGAGTTCTTAGACATCTGGAAAGGAAATTAAAATACAAAAGGTTAAAAATTCCACAGGCCCGTTTCACAATTATCTCACCTTTTCCATTTCAGTTTTATATGTCACAAAAATATCATTGGATTTCTGCAATGAAGATTGGAAGTCATCATATTTGGCAGTGTACAAATTCAATTGTTCCTTTAAATCCTTTTCACGATCACTGATTTCCTTCAACATTTGTTGGGTACTCAGCAATTTTTCCAATACAATTTGTTTTTCCCTTGGAAAAAGCGAAAAAGACAGGAGATATTAGAAACGTTTTCCAAGGATGTTATAAAGTTCTTTATCTTACTTGATGAGAATTTCCTTTTCCATGGCCGACTCCACCTGTACCTTATTCAATTTGGCCCTATGAAGTTGTCCCTCAATTTGCACCTGTTCATTTAGCTTCTCCAATTGTTGTTCACGAGCCTGGTATTGTTCAGCCAAAAATTTGAGTCTGCAAATAAAAAAGAAAAAGAAGAATATATAAATAAGGAAAAATCTTATTTTTGGTATACCGGTAATCTCTCTAAGCTTAACAGAAGTTATGGAGCTCTTCCTCAATTAAATGTAGACTTGCTTAGCCCGTGAGACCCCTTGAAGTCTTTTGAAGTCAAGAGGAAACCTCAAGGACTTAACAAAAGCCATATATATCTTTAATAGATGTCCATAGAGCCGAAAATCTTCATTGCTTGTAAAAAAAATTCGAAGTTCTGCAACTATCCTTAGTATAACAGTTCTACTAAATGTTATAATACCATTTTTAGTTGTAAATGGATGCAGTTTTCATTTCTTGCAAAAAAATTGGACAATTTGGTTGAATTTCCGCGAGTATAACAGTTTGCTATTAAAACTGGTTTTTGATTCAAAAATTGTTTCTTTGGGTCTTGCACATATACACCATATTAAGCTACGAATTTTTAGATTTTAATTGAGATCCTATGGATTTTTTGCCCCATGACTTCGAAAATTGAAGAAAAGCTTAGGAGACTCTTCATTTAATAGAAGACTTTAATTATTTCCTCCTACTTTACAAATTCAATTACACAACTACCAATTTCAAATTCTTAGATAACACAAAGATAACATAAATGACATAGAGGTTTCAGAAAACTGTTATACAAGATCTTTGTTTGAATTAGATACAATATTTGCTTATTATCCGTCCATTTCATCAATATTTTTAGAATCAAATAAGGCCATCATCCTCCCTTGCGAAAAAAAATGCGAAATTTGTACAGCTTTCATTAATATAACAGTTTTGTCAACTGTTATTATGCTATTTTGGTTTGAAAATTAAGGCAATTATCATTGCTTGGGAAAAAATTGTGAGTTTTGTGCAATTTTCATGTGTATAACAGTTTTGCAAAACTGTTATACTTGACTTTCGAACAGACTTTTTGTGTTAAAACCCCTTGGATTCTGCTTTTCCTTTGCTTGTTGGACATTTACACCAAAATACAATATTATTTACAAAATTTAATTGGTATTTTTATTTTTTTTAATCAATTTTCGAAGATCTGAAAGTTTTTCGTTTCATAATTTTGTTCATTTGAAATTATTTCCTCTAATGAAAGTTGGTTTCTTTGTAAATTTTCCTTAAGGAAGAATTAAGCCCCAGTCCTCCAGTCTTTCCATTACACTGCCCTACTTCCCTACTATATTTTGTTCAAGGGAGCTTCCCGCATTTAAAATAAACCAACGTCAACATTTTGATTTTGAAATGTTTAGATTTTTATTTCATTCCCTTCTCATTAAAATTCAAAATATTCTCAATACATATGTTTCTCTTATGCTGCCTCCTCTCTGTGATCCCAAAGCATACCAACAACTTCGAATATATCTAAAAATAGTTGCCATATAAAAAATAAAAACATCCCATCCCCCCATTAACATTTCGAATTAGAACAAAAAATGTATTTCTCATTGTAACGAAAAACAAAAAGACACCAGAGAGCGGTGCAATATTTGAAATGTGAACACAATACACATGGTTAGATGCGATGCGGCGGTTCACTAGGAGATCTAAATGAATTCATGTTCTCTACTCTGATAGAAAACCAAACAAAACAACACACCTTTTGGCGATCACCACTGTTGCCTTAGATACCAACAAAATTCGATATTGAGAGAATTGAATTTTGAAATACAAAAAAAAAAAGGAAAATAACCTCAATTTTTGCGGCTAGTCAAAGCAAAAAAAAAATGATGACTGCGTAGTGTTGTATGCGTTCTTAAATAGAATCTTATTACTACTATACTTACTTTTTGGTCATCTCAATATTGTGATCACGTAATTTATTATTTTCTTCATTGTTTTTGTTAAGGGATAGGTTGATTTCGTTCAGGGAAGATTGGAATTTCGATTGGCTTTCCTTGCGACGTTCTTCCTCCTCGCGTATCTTTTGCATACTTTCATTTTTAACGGATTTAATAAGTTTCTGTTGTTCCCGGCACACTTCCTCCAACTTGTCCCTGTGGAAAGGTTTTACATTGATTTCAAAAATAATTTCAAAAACTATTACCTTCATTCATAAATACCTCATTAAAACATTTTTATTGTATTCCCTTTGAAGATTCTCTTTTTCTCTGACCACAGTCTCCAGCTGTTTTTCTAAGGCCTTCGTATCCTGCTTGGATCGCCTCAAAAGGCGCTCACTTTCCACATATTTGCTAAGCAATAGTTGAAATTTATCTTCTGGTGTCTTGGCCTCTTCCAATGTTTTGAGAATCTAAAGAAAATTGGGAAACAAATTAGAACCATTGCTCAGCGCAACATTCTGACCCAAATTTTTTAAAATGTTGAATATTTCCATTTACATGGATGTGAATTTCCAAAATTCTAATAAATATTCAAGCCTTTACATGCAACCCACCTGCTCCTCGATTTTCTGGTCTTTTAGCTTCTCATCTCTGGCTTCTTTTTTATTTTTCTTAGCTTGATCCATTTTTTAAAGGTAAATTTTGTTTTCCACCAGGCCTACTATTTACCTTGGAGATTTTCTATTTGGATCGTTAAACGGCTGGATTATGTCGAGAAATTAATTAGTTCGTTCATACACTGTCAAATATAAAAGTTGGCGAGATATATCATATCATAAATTTCATCATTTTTATTAAAAATTACTATATTTTAAGTCCTAATAACATACCGACAGCACAAATCGACACTACCGTCCGAATAAAACCAACTGAATAGAGCTGGCAAACAATCGATGGTAATGTCAACGGTATCGATTCTTTTTGTTAAAAGGAAATATCGATTGATAGTGTTCTTCATCGATGCTATCGGACGAAATGACAGCACTAAACCGCAATAGAAAAAAATATTAACCTTCCTTTTTTTAAGAAGATGTTAAATAAAAAATACTACGCGCGGTACAATGACACAGACAGTCGCTGGAAATCATACTTTTACTTTTTTTGTTTATGCCCTTCAGGTTCACATTAATATTTTGTAGTTCTTCCTTAAATATGGGCGTACGACCCATAAGAAATTAACATATCTTTTTAATCAAATATTTGGTCATTTTCAAACTTTTTATAGCCTCCATCAAGGAATAGTATAATCTAAACCAGATAACGAACATGAAAGCCCCATAAGTTAAGCTTGGTAGAATTAAGAAGGTAAAGTCATGTAAACATATGTTTACAATTTTTTTCAAAAATTTCATTGTCAAAATGTATATTTATAAATCCATTGTACATACACAAATCAGAGATGCTTTCTATGCAGTGAAATTTGACAAGGTAAAATGCAGAAAATGCAAAGATGGGAGTTCTTATTTTAAATGACTTGACCTTATTAATTTTACCATGGAATCTTCTAGTATTTACATTTTTCCGATATTAAAAAGGAAAAATCGGTGATCGTAGTAAAAATTTTTACACTCTTGCAGTTCTAGAACGGATCTTAATTTTTACTTGAAAAATGGCAAGGTCGAGTTCTTTGGAAAATGATTGTCATTTTTGATTTAACAAACGAGACTACCTCTATTGTTTTGCCATGCACACAAGGCTAAAGGTGTGCGTACGTAAGTAAAAGTTTGCCTTAAATTTTGAAACACTTTGGAATCGACCACAATACATCTGTTTTGTAAACAGTTGATGCTACCAGATGATTTTCTTAGTATCTTAATTCTCAAAATTGCTCTGTTTACTGTCACTCTCTCTCTCTCTCTCTCTCTCTCTGATTTACTGACTTTTGGGTTATCAAACAAAATTTTGTAATAATTTTTACAAAATATTGTGCACTCCCATTGTATTGTCATTGAAAAATGTTTGACAATGAATAAAATGATAGAAGCAGTGTGTATGTATACAACTCTGATTTCAAATTGTCTTGTGCAAACGCCAGATTAAAATAGTAAAAACAACAACGTTTTGTGCACATGTTATAGCACATTGTTATTATACACTCTGAAAATATTTATTACAGTTCATTTTGTTTTTTTAATAAAAAAAATATATTTATAATGGCTCCGTCAAAGATTACCTTCCACTGTTACAACTGAACACAGCTACGCAAACAAAAATACAACTCTATTTCGTTTCATATGTCAAATTCACTGAACACATCTCATCTTGCAATCCATTCCACACCATCCACATTCCAAAGCAATGTCATATGACATTTTTCGTTTTTTCACATTCCACGAAGACCATCGTCACTTGTATTTATCTACTTGTCTTGTGAACAGTGCAGTTTTGGAACTTTTTTTCCCCCCGAATTTACTTTTGTAGTGGATACAAGTGCGTACAAATATGACTAGCCAAACCCAAGGTATCCAACAATTGTTGGCCGCTGAAAAGAAGGCTGCCGAAAAAGTTGCAGAAGCAAGAAAACGTAAGTAAAAAGAACAGTTTTGTGCCAAATCGAAAGAGCTGCGAAAAAACACCAATTTGATGGAGAAATTCCAATTGGCCGAAGAAAACAAGTGTCATTGTGTTTGTGAAGTTGTGGTAGTTGAAAAAACGTAATTGTGTACTGCTGCTGCTGTCAGCAGCATTAGCTATGGTGGGGTCACATGATAACCGAGCTTATGAAAATAACCGATAAAAGTGAGTAGTTTTGATAATTTATATTTTTTCTTTTAATTTTCCAGGCAAGGCAAGAAGATTGAAGCAAGCCAAGGATGAAGCTACCGAAGAAATTGAGAAATATCGCCAAGAAAGGGAACGTCAGTTCAAGGAATTCGAAGCCAAGGTAATAACGAAAAACCAACAATGTTAAGATTTAGACGGGAGAGGGGTGGGTGGGAGAAAAAGGTACATGTTTTTTGAAGGGGGGTGGAGGTGACACTTAATGTTACAAAATAATGTTGGTGGTGTAGAGATTTTTTGATTTGGAGTTTTATAACTTCTCGTGATTTTCTTTAAATTTTTGAAATGGAATAATTTAGAAGTTTTGTTTTATGGCAGATGAAGGGGAGGTGTCTGTAAGTGAACATTAGAAAAACGAATAAACTCCGCAATTAAGGGGTACGACATTGAAATTGATTAAAATTCAGAGCGAAAAATTAGCGAAGGAATTTAGTAATTTTTATTCAAAAAATTCTGCAAGACTAAAAATCTGATCCATGTTTTACAGATTGGCCAACTAGTGTGGGCCCTGTTTACATTTTTAAAATAGAACAGTGAATCACGATAAAGAAATAAGATTCCCATAAAAGCATCACTCAAAACAGGGTGACCTTAAGTATTCTTTAACTAGAGAAATGATTTCGTGCACTGTGGAGTTTATCTGCAAGGTTGGTTTTGAGTACTGTATCGGGTCCCAAACAGATAGGGTCAATCGAAATTGAGAAAAATATATCTCTCATTTGCCTTGACACCTGTTGGCACAGAACTATATTTTAGAATATTTCCTCTGTTTCGGGGCATGCCGATCAGGACATGGAAAAGAGTTTTCCATGACCAAATTCGCAGTGGAATGCGGTTGGTAGGAAAAATACGACTTAAAAAATTTCAATTTTGGAACTTTTGTTTGTGAATTATGTTTGAAGGCTTATTCCAGTGGTGAAGACGTTTTCCGTCTTAGCAAATCACTAAATTTTAAAAAAGGAGATGGCGTTCACTTTTCCTCATGTATATTCAAATGGGGATCTCATCTTTTAAAGCAATTTAATTCTGACTGATTGAGTTACCATACAAATCGACCACGCATCTAGCAATCGCTTCTGTTTTCCACTCCCACCTATTACCACGTACCTTAGTCGAGTATCATATGTTCTTATTGCACTAATGTAAAAATCGCACAAGACAAGAATCTATTTAGGACATTAAGTGTTAATATAGATCAAAGGCAACCTCATATTTGTAAACTAGACCACAAGGCGACTCTTTGCGCAATATCAGTGAGCTGAAGAAACGCATTTTTAATTCATTCTAGAAAAAACAAGTCTTTCGATTTCCTCGATCGTCCCCTGATATACAAATCAAGGAAGCCTTTTGTCATAGCTCTACCGGGGTTTACAGGCATTGATCTAAGTTCCATGCGAGAAAGTCTATTGGGTTGATTCCAATCAAAAATACAGATAGAAGCTTAGCTTTAGAATCTTTGACCTAGTAGGATTTTAGTCGATCATGATAGTTGGTCCCATTGCAATGACAACCACGTCTTTCGATCACTCTTTGGTGTTCGTGTTGCAGTAGCCTTATTATGCTTGCATTTGTGACAGTTCTCGTGGTGGTCATTGTTTCTAACGGGTTTGTAAAAATCCTTATTGAACTTCCAAAGTTATAGCCAAGTTTTTTTTTTTTTTATCGATCGACTTTTTGCCAAGATGCTTACTGTGCAATGTATTGAAAAAGTTCTCTCAGCATAAATGAAGAACAGCTGCGTTATCATGCCATAGAGAATGTTAACTTTTTGTTAATGTCTTAATATAGTAAATATGTTTGCCACAAATGGAATTAAGCCTAATGTAATTTTAGGATATTAGACAATCAAACCTAAGCAATAACGGAAATGTGGGTCGATTTAGGGACAATCGGTTTAGATTTGCTAATGGTACAGAAAAGAAATAAATGAATGCCCATGTTTATGTGTTATCACACCATACTGAATGTTAAATTCCATAAATAAATGATAGTTTGTTTACACATAGGTTATGTATGCTTTTCAGACGAGTTGATAATGGTTTCCCATATTTATTTGAAATCACAGTATTAAGTATATGCAACATAATATTTAGGTGAAGAAAATCAAAAATGTTACAATAGGGCTCACAAAGTATAAAAAATAAAAAAAAAATTAAATGGAAATAAGAACAAATTTTTAAGAACTTTTAATGTTAACAAATAATACAAAAAATAAATAAAAAATGATTATTTTACTTCATCTCAAAATATATTTAAACAACTGGGGTACATTTTAGTGTCTCTAAAATCGAGCAGATCTAAAATCAGATATGTAAACATGCTATTAGAGACAGAATGCCGAGCCATGGTAGAAAATTGTTGTGCTGCTGGGACAATGAACAGTCAGAGCAAATTTGTGTTTAATGAAAAATTAATTGGAATTTTCTCAAAATGTTGAAAAATGCGTATCACAACAACCTCTGATTTGCGCCGTATAAGAAAACATATAAAAATCTACTCATTTTTGACAAAAGATTTTAAAAAATTTTGACATCAATGTTCCCAAGCGTTGATGCATCTACCTGTATTCTTCTAACATGATGCCGTGCCAAAAATCAACGTTAAACTTTTTTATCATATATGAAAACACATGGTACAATCAGGAGATATAACAGCTTGGTAAAACTAATGAAATTTACCTTTGAGGCCTTGTCCGCTTTCAGTCAGAATTTTTCAAAAACGAATGCAACACGTTATTCTCATTTCTTTAATATTTTTCCTCATAAGGATGGAATAGGCGAAAGATGAATGGAAAACCGGAATTTTCTTTTTTCAAAGTTTAGTTTTTCAATTCCATGACAAAATTGTTTAATATTCCTAGTGCCTAGCTAGCGGCTCGCCTTGTACCTTTTGTCAAGTTAAGGGTTTTGAAATTTGTTGTTTTAAATTTTCAAAACATTAAATACAAAATTAGCAGGAGTAGGGCACAATTTTGCGGTAGCATACTACAACGCAAAATTAACCTTAAGGCCTTTAGGGACAAAGTGACAGAGATACTAAAAGCTTATTGATATTTAAACTTGATCTCAGTCCTAGAACATTTTAATTTATTGAATCTAGTCATGTTAGTAAAAATAAGAATGTAACCCTTTAGAATCGTATGGTCACAATTTATTCAAAATTTGTATTAATAAAGAGATGGAAACTTGTTTTAAATAGCCCTTCCTTTTTATTTTCTTTCTCTTCCTCTAGCACATGGGTTCCCGCGAAGGTGTAGCTGCCAAAATCGATGCTGATACCCGCGTCAAATTGGCTGATATGGACCGTGCCATTGGCTCCCGCAAAGAGCCTGTCATTCGAGAAATTTTGCAATATGTCTACAACATCAAGCCTGAAATCCACAAGAACTACCACCACAAGAAGTAATTTCAAGGTTGAGCCGCAATGCAAAATGCCGAATATATAGAAGAAAACAATGCTAATCCCAAACATCATACTGCTCTAGCTTGTATTTGTATTATTCTAAATGTGTTCTGATTATAATCAAATATTAGCAAAAGCGCCGGCAAATTATTAGTGTTGAAAGAAAGAAGAAGAAAAAATCTTATGTATATTTTTGTTTTCATTTTAATTTTAATTTGTTTTTCTGTCATTCTTTGAAATTTGAAGACATGACTAACTAAAAAAAAAAGAATTCCATCGTATAAAAGCTACATACTTCCCCCCTAAAAGTTTGGCTTTAAGTTTAAGAAAAGACCCCCAATCATTCTTTTTACAAAAAGTGTGTATTTTCTTTAGTTTCAATTAATATTTAGATAAAGAAAAAAGTATGTATTATTGTTGTTGTTGTCTTTAAAAAATAACCATTATTAATAATAATAAAATATGAAAGAGAAAAAAAACTCATAAGTAACACACACAAATCAATATTACCAATTTAATAGGCGGCTTATAGGCTTGCAAAACAAGTGAAATTCACTTAATACTATTTTTCTGTGCATAATTTTGTGTTAAACAATCAGAATGAAAACAAATTTTTTGTTTCTTCAGTTCATGTATTATAGATGTCTTATGTAATAAAGGTTCTCTGTAAAAACTACATTGGAAAAATGGTTATTGTAATTGGTCAAAAATTGGGATTAAAAATTTGTCAAAGCGGTAAAAATTTTAAATTAAAAACACTTTTTAGAAAAAGCAGCTGACTAACTTTAATTAACAAAATGCATGTGATATGATTATCACGTGAATGTGTTAATTTTTAAAGATAACTCGGGAGAACGTTGTCCGAGGTATGCAAAACAAAAATGAATGATAAGAGAAGTCAAATGATAATCTACATTGCTTGGAACGATGAAGTCTTAGACACACATTAGGAATTGAAACAAATTGGGGCTTCATTACTCAATATACAATGCTTTACTTATTCTCTATTTATTGTTTTTTTTTTTTTTTTTTCATAGTGTTCCAACAAATGTTGTTTCAAACTGGGCATATTCTTCGCTACATATGTACACTGATTGCATTTCAAATCTTCATTACTGAGTTCCTTAATTGTGACACTATCCAAACGTTTTACTTTGTTATTTTCATTCAATTGTACTATTAAATCTGAAAATATGCAACTGTTGTAACAAGTCTTATAGAAAATAGTTGCTCCTACTTACCATCGTAATTTAAAAATAAGGCCGTATTAAAGCTATTCCAATGTTTCTTTGTTTTCAAACAATCTGATACAAAATCTTTTGATATTACATGTAAATGTAAACGCTGCATACTGGGTTGATTGTGGAAACCAATAAGAAAATTATCCTGTGTTTGGCCCTTCACTTCAATTACATTTAGAGCCAATAAATGCATTTCTTGCAGAAGAGAAATATGTTGGCTGGTGAGCTATAGAAAAGATAATAAATTACTTTTTCATGTCTAATTAAAGTAAATCAACGCAATCAATACCAATTTCAACTAACATTAAATATTGAGGGTATGTCTTCGAATGGCAATACCAAGTAGTGGTGTTTTGCTTTGGCATATTTGTCTTGAATAACAGCAGCTAAATTAGACGATATAATATGGGTTGTGGGATCCTTTAAAGTTTTTACCAAGCCATTAGCCCAGGAATTTGTAGCCATTTTTATTTAAATACCTTATTTTCTGTAATTTAAGAAATTCAATGAATGCATGCATAAACAAAAGACAGTTGTGACCAGGACATGTTATTACTTCGTAGTGAGTGGCAATTTTTTAGATAAGTTTAGAATATAAAGCGTAATGGCCACATACAGGTAGACGCATCGACACAGCTGTTGGCACAATGAACTGTCAAACCAATTTTGGAATTGAAAATGAAATTATTTAAATTTTTTTGAAAACGCGAATTATAATAACCCCCGAATGACGTCGTATAAGAAAACATACAAAACTCTACTTATATTTAAAAAAAATACATATAAAATTGTTTGACATATCAATGTTCCCAAGCGTTGATGCATCTAACTGTATTCTTCTTTTCCAACGAACTCGACCATGTCATTTTTTAAATAAAAATCATTTTCATAACTTTTTCAATCACTATTGAACCCCGTGAGTAAATCTTGAATAGTATAATAATAGCATATGCGCTATAACCTCATATAAAATATTTAATCTGTTCCAGGGGCTATTTGACATTCCTTTCTCCTATAAAACACAATTCACATTTCAAAAAGAATTGGGTCCAGAACTACAAGAATGTAAAAGTTTTTACTACGATAACTGATATATAAACTATATATATTCATGATCAGGATAAAATTCTAAGTCGTAAAATTCTCCCTCACGTTACAGCTCACATTATTTGAGCTTCAAAATTGGGCACAGTAGTTTGAATTGTGTCTAGGATGGTTGGTATTGAAAATTAGATATATCGGTTCACGTTTTGAGTATTCGGTATTGTGATAGTTTTAGCCACATATTTCCACCAAATTGTCTATAAATTGGTATTTGTAGTTCGTGGCGGAACATCGACATATAGGACCACGATTTCGTATATTTGGATGATTTTTGCCACATTTTTTCACGTATTTGTCTAAAAAAATGGTATTAAAAATGGTGGCAGAACTCTGAATATCTATGTCCACGTTTTCCTATAACGCACATATAACGGATCCTTTGGTTATTCGGTATTTTGACGATTTAAGCCATATTTTCTAATACATTTATATAAAATTTGGCATTTGTACTTCATAATGGGTTCTACAAGCGGTGCCAAAACATTGTCTATATTGGTCCTAGTCATCCTTGTCACATTTACCCACAAAACTATGAAAAAATTGGTATTTATGACTTGAAATTGATTACATTAGTATTGCCCCCATATACGGCTCCAACCAATCTCCTACCGATCTATATTAGATTTGGAGCGCGTTGTATTATGATTGCCAACAAATAAAAAACAGCTGAATGTCTGCTATCAATTCAAAGTGAATGTGCTAACTTCTGTTTACACAAAAAACTATTCGTCATCTGTTTTGTTATTTTGGCAAGCAAAGCAATTGTGTTCCGATTTTTTTTCCGATCAATTTTAATGCATTTACAATTCCATATGTAAATGCCATATAAATAAAAAGAAAACGATAAAACAAATATGAAAAGCGGATCATTTCGTAGTACACAGTGGGATCCTTTCTTGCTGATAACACAAATTATCTCAGTGCAATGCTGTGTTTATTTCTCGCTAGGGTTATTGGTGTTCATAGCCAATCTGCTGGCAGGAGAAAATTATCGACTGGACAATATTTTCGAGTATCATGTAAGTGTAAAACAGAAGAGGAAAATAATAAAATACTTTATACTTTGTATGTCTTTCTAGGAAATACATGTTTCAGATTTGGGCGGCCGTCTAATTATATGCGCCTTCGTTACGAATGCCTTCGTTGGTTCACTGGCGCTGTGGTGCATAGTGCGAAGAGCTAAATTGTGCTTGGACTTTAGGTGCGTGAAACGATATTCATTAAAAACTAATTTCAAAATAGATATGCTATAAAACACTTGATCGCTAATATTGTGGTGGCAATGAAATTGTTAGTTAAGGGATATGGTACGGAAGGTTAGAGATTCGCAATTCCACCACCAATCCTAATCGCCACCAATCCTAATCGGTTTCTTTTTGTATGTATATATCCAATAATAAGTAACTGTTCCTAGCAGATTTGTTGTTAAAGGATTCATTAACAACAAAAGCTGGGGATACGGGAAGATTGGTGCAGACAATAGACTTTCTTACCTTACCTCTTATTAATAATTAAATTTCTCCCACTAATAAAAAATAACATCGGTGCACCATCAAATTGTTAATATTTGTTTCTTTTAATTTTAGCTGCACATTTCATCTGTTCCATTTACTGATATGCTGGTGGTATAACAGTGCTTTTCCTTCGAATATTTCATGGTGGCTCTTGAATGCCACTACAGCCACAATTATGTGCATTGGTGGTGAATTTTTATGTTTAAAGTCTGAACTCAAAGAGATTCCAGTAGGTTATTCAGCTTTAAATCAAAAATGCGATGTGTGAAAGTTTTTGCGAATTGATGACTACGCTAATTGTATTTTTGTTAGTAATTTAATTTATGTACTTTAAGTTAATTAAAAAAAAGAAGAAAAAAAATATATATATTTTTGTGTATTTAAATGAATGTGAGTACTGTGTTACATATCACATCGTGTGATAAATAGACGACATTTTAGTATGAGACCAATTATTTGACCGAAAATAAATGTAAATTTCTTGACACTTGTACGCCCACATCTAAGGAGGAAGTACAAAATATACATTTGACAATGAAGGGGCCTTCTTCCCTTTTGTTTTTAACCAGTTTTTTTTAATACTTTCTTTTACCATAACGAAAACAATACCAAAATACAACTCTGATTCAAGACATTTAGGCTTTTGTTAACTTTTCTAAGCAAAGAATATGTTTACGAAAAATATTTACAAAGAAAAATAAAATTTTACATTTTCTCAATTATTGTCCTATTTATGGCAAAATTAAGAAGATAAAGTCATGCGATCATATATTGATTATTTTCCAAATTTTTCATTTGACATCTCATTCTCAAAATCTATATATTTATAAATACATTGTACATACGCATATCAGAGATGGGAACCTGTTGCCTATGCAATGAAATTTGATAAGGTAAATTACAGAAGCTGCAGAGATGGGAATGCTTATTTGAAATGACTTTATCTTCTTCATTTTACCATGGTAATCTCATTTGTCAAATAGGTAAAACAAAAATGTTTATATTTGAACTCATCTATCGTTTTAAATTTATACCATAACGCAAGACGATTGACATTTTTTTTAATTAAAAATAAAACCACGTGACCCTTTGCGTTGACCGAATGGAATATTTCTTTGTTGTTTTAAATGTACATGTGTCCTGTGTATTTATTTTAAAATTTATTAAAAATTTGATCAGGTTATTTTATCGGTAAAAGTAAAATAATTGGTCTGTTCCAGAACTGCATGGTACAACAAAATAAAGGTAACCTCATTTCAAATTAGCATTCCCAAATCTGCATTATCTGTAATTTACCTTGTCAATTTTCAATGCATAAAAACAGTTCCCATCTCTGATTTTGTGTGTATACAATGGATTTCCGAATGAAAATGTTGACAATGAGATGTTGTCAAAGGTATAATTTTGAAAAAATTGTAAACATATGATTACATGACTTTACCTTCTTAGTTCTACCCATGGTAGAAGAATATAGGTAGACGCATCGACACAGCTGCTGGGCCAATGAACTGTCAAACGAATTTTGGAATTGAAAGGAAACATATACAAATCTACTTATTTTTCTACTACTTATATTTTTTACTTTCTTAGTTCTACCATGCAAAACTGCAAGAATGTAAAAATTTTTTACTGCAAAACACGAATTATGCTTTCATTTCAATTTCATTATTAACTTTTGAAAGTTGGATGTTGTCAACAAAATATTATGAAAAAATCATATGTTAGCATTAGGTTCATGGTAGAACAATACGGCATTGACACATCTGCGGGGACAATTAACTATCAAACCAATACTGGAATTGAAAATTATGAATGAAAAATTATTCAAACTTGTAAAAATTGTTAAAAAAAAATGTATATCAAAACAACTTCCTATTGGCGTTGTAAAGAAAAACATATACAAATCTACTTATTTTTGACAACATTTACAAACTTTTGACATATCAATGTTCCCAAGCATTGATGCATATACCTGTATTCATCTACCATGATGACAATACTTTGTGTTTCTTTGCCTATCCAATTCTAAAACATTCTCATTTGAAAACACTACGTCCAACTTAACATAACCTTGTTAGGCATTATTCCTTTGTTGTACGATATATTGATACAACAAGCCATGCCACTCTTTAACGAAAGTACCAATTAACCATGAACATACACGGTTACCTCTCATACCCAGTAACTTGGTAATCGTTGCACTCGATTCTTCGTCAAATCATTTTCGTCGACATTTTTCACGCGTTGAAATTATTTAGGAAGTGTGTGTCGGAGAAACGACGGATAATATATAAACGCAGATATATCTATATAGTATATTTCTGCGATTGAAATATATATAGAAAAGAAAAAAACATTGACAATTTATTGTAAAAAACCAACCAAGAAAAACTTTAAGTGTAACAAAATTATTAAATTTTGTCACACCAACGATCGTAATTAGCTACAGAAAAAGCCCAGCAGTAAATTGAAATAAAATCGATTTAGTTTTCTATACGTGTGTGTGTATGTGACTTGCTTTTTTGTGACTGATACATAACTTTTTCTCCTCATGCTAACTATAGAGCGCTAAATCAAGAAAAAAAAAAACAAATTAAAAACTATTTTATTTCGATTTTGAAAACGGACTAATTCAAAAAACAACAGCGAAATCGTCGAAATTTTCCTAAACGGAAAAGAGCCGAAAAAATAAGAAACTGATTGGAAAGTAATATGAGTAATGCTATTAACCAAAATGGCACAGGTCTAGAGCAGCAAGTGAGTAATAAATTTATAATTATTTCTGTTTCTAAGCTTTGTTCAGATGGTGGATGGATGGATGCCTCCTTGTGTTCGTTTGCAAATTTTCTGACTGGCTTGCTGTTGTATGTATATACAAATGGCCAGTATTCACTTTTTCAACTTGTGGAGGAAATTATTCGACGATAAGAAAAATGAGTAGATTTCTTTTGTGAAATTGTGAAACAAAGAATTATTGATTTCATAACATTATTTCTCTTGGTTTTTTACACATGCACATGCAGCAGCAATGCGGTTGTGGCTATCTGTCGAAGTATCTCGCGTTGGCTTTTTTTAAATTAAAAGAAAATGAGAAAAAAAAACCTAACAAATTTAATTAGATTTCTGTATTTTCACATTCTTTTTTCTTGAGTTTTATTTCTTTTATATATTTTTGCATGTTCTTTCATCGTTCTTCTTTTACTCGGGTATTAGAGGTTATGTGGCTTGTGCTGCTGGCTGGCACACTGGGAGAGAGAGATAGGGAGATATTTGAGTCGTTGGTAACCACGTTATTGTTGTAATATATTTCATGCCGAGGAGAATAGTATACTAATATTTGCCTCTCTCTTTGTGTCCATGTTATTTTCTGTATATGTCGCTCTCTCTCTCACGCCGTTTGCTTTGTTTTCCTTGCTGAGTGTACATACACACACGCACACATACACTTTGCTTTTGTTGAGTGCATTTTTTTGATGTAGATCTTCAATCGGAGTGTATTTTCTATTATAGTTGTCGTTGTTGTTTTTATTTTTTTTTTTTTTCAATATGGTTTACAAAAATTTAAAGGTTATGCTTACTTGAACACATTGACTTGTAACAATTCCGTTTTTCCCCCGTTCTGAAAGTGAGTAAGTGTGAGTGTGCATGTATACATAAGGGAAGTTTGTTGACAAATGGCTTGTCTGGGTAAACAACGACAGCAAAAAAATGCATTATTCATAGTGGCCAAGATTGCTTTTATCAGAGTAACTTACTTCTGCGTTTATTTGTTTACTTAACATTTATTCGTCACATGAAAGAAATACGAAACGTAATTCTTTTTTTGTCTCTATTTGTTGGTAATGGCAAATTTCGCTGTACTTTTTGACTCTCAATTTTTGGTGGGTTCTATCGGAAATCGGAATTACATTTACTTTTGTGTGCACTTGCATTTTTGACATTGATTTCAATGTTGTTTTGTATGCCCGCTTGCCTGCCCGTGTAGTGAAAGCCAAATTTCATTGAAAAAATATTGCGTTCGTTTGCTTGGAAGGACATTCACATTAGAATGCTGTGGAGTAGATAATTTGCAGTAAACAATGATTAAAAGAAACGATGAGAAAAAAATTGTTTAATATTGTTTCTTATTTTGACACCACTGTTATCATAATTCGGTGATTCAGGCAGAAAGATTTATAGAAGAAACAAAAAAGAAATAATTTTGGAGAGCCAAGAAAAAAAAATGAATTTCCCCTTTTTCACGCATAAAATCTTATTAAAAAGAAAATTAGACGACCTTGCGACAATTTTTTATTGGTCTCTTTTGAACTTGCCTCTTGTATTTATACAATATATACAAGGCAATTTGTTTTCAGTAATTTTTTTCCATCATACTGTAATATTTTTATATTTTTTTCATTTGTAGGTTTTTTTTAATATTTATATTTTTTATGTTATTTATATTTTTTTATGTTATTTTTATTTTTTTATATTATTTTTATTTTTTTACATTATTATTATTTTTTATATTTTATATTAATTTATTTTTTTATTATTTTATTTTTTTATATTATTTTATTTTTTTATATTAATTTTATTTTTTTATATTTTTATTTTTTATATTAATCTTATTTTTTTGTAATTTTTATTTTTTTTATTTTTATTTTTTTGTATAAAAATGCAAAATTTTTTCTGCATCGGAGAGTTTTTACTGATCCTGGAATTATTCCTTGTTCGGGAACGCTTTTGTGCCAGGTTGGACAACAGAAAAAACGGCTGATATTTTGCAGCATTTCACAGTGAATGAAAAAACTATTTGTTATCTTTACGATTTCATTAAAATTAATTTACAATTCCACATACAAATATTATGTAAGTAAAAAAAAAATATACAAAAAAATGGAATTGTAATTCTAAAAAAATACTATTCTGAACAAAACAGATGAATGTTTTTTTCATTCACTACGAATTGCTAGTTTTTGTTTGTTGTTCAACCTGGCACAAAGGCATTCCCATACAAAATTACAAATCACGAGTCAAGATTAATAGGTGTGTTATTTTGGTATTCAAAGAGTTGAGATTATGTAAAGCAGGCTCTTTCTAGACACACCAACTAGTTGCCATTTCATTGCTATTTCCAAGATGAATAAAGTCCTATCTTTCACTAACTTGCATAATAGAAACTACCTAACCGAAGTCTTATAAAAATGGAGCTGGCTCGCTTCTCTCACTTTGTAAACATCAATCAAATTCCCCTTATTTTTTTTTTTTTTTTGAACTTTTTTTGGCTTCTTTTCTTTAATTAGACTGTGATGCAAGCCTTCATGGTGCGCCTTTCTTTCATTATTCCATATTTCTTTTTCAAATTGTAAGAAAATGCTGCATTTGATAATTTATTCACATGTGCCTTAAGGTACCGTGTTCGTTGCGTATGCCACATTTCCATTTGTCGGAAAGAATGCAAAGAAAACATATAAAGTATAGATGACATTTCAAGATTTGCATTGACGGCCGCGATGGTTGTTGCAAATGAAGGGCATGTTTTTTTTTATTCATTCCAACAAAAAGGAATATAGTTATGAAAACATTGAAAAAATGCTCATTAGTTGATATTTTATGTATGCACCATGGTTCCATCTGCTGCAGTTGTTTTCCGTCACTCCATCCACACTACTGGTCTATTTTTAAAATACTACAATATCTTGTGCTGCCAGAAACATAAATTGGCGGCAATTCGGATTCATTTACACATGTCACCGCAGCAACGACACTTAATTATTAATGATGATATATGCAAGATATTTGCATTGGAAATTATGAACCAATCAAATTCTCTGAAATGTGGCAAGTGAATGGGAATTAGTTTTGATTTATAAAAATGAAATTTTGCTATACTTATATATTTAGATTAGCTGGTTTAAACTAATTCATACATTTTACAGATTTTTTTTTTAATTTTATGGCAGCAAATATGTGAAGTATGTCATATAGCACAGAATTGTACTATTAAAAAGATAAGATAGGAAACTTGGAAGGAAATGGATGGTAAAAAATTCATATTTAAAACCATTAAGCCAGAAATAAACAAGCAAAATTAAAACAAAAATTAAGTTAAAATAAAATGATAATTCGGATTCTACCTTAATTTTATTAAATTAAATTGAGTCTCTTACCATCTCACTCCTTACTTTGAGTTTAAGGTTAGGTTATGTCAACAATCTAAGCTTCCTGAAAAAAAAGAAACGAAAAATAAACAGTAAAATTTCCATTGTCTATGATTATTATGATTTTATTATTTAATATTTTAAAGTATGTATCTAAGTATATTGTAACAAATCAAAGTCAAGCTTGCTCATCATGACGCGTAGCCTTGTTAACAACTCAACCCACTCGTTAAAACAGCACTTCAATGTGAACTTTAGATTAGAAATGAAAACAAAACTAATTGTAGTAGTCGCGTTTTTGTGTATTCATTTTACTAACACTCACTAGCCTCTGGGGGAATGATAAGTTTCCGAGAAACAAAATAAAAAAAAAAAAAAACAAAAACTAAACTCATCTGTGTAGGCCAACCAACTTTTTTTTTATTCGCTTGGCAACAAACTGCTATGCTGATGATCTTTACACGATAATAATATACACACTATAAACTCTGGCTGCTGATGATGATGACGACATACTTTTTTTTTTTTTTTTGATTATGATGGTGGTGGTACCCAAATAAACTTGAGTTTTGTGAAATTATAATGAAAAAAAACACACTCGTAGAAAGAGAAAAATGCCGGGGCCTTTAACAATGCTCGACCTGCCAAACATTAGGTTTGACAATACTCCTCCCCACTCTCTTTCTCTCTATGACTCTCAATAAAAAATCTAATGCTATTTGTCATTAGGCAATTTTACTTTAACAGACTTTTTTTTTAATTTGTTTTGGGAGAGAAGGTTCTTCTCTGTCTCCACATCTCCCTCCCACGATTATGAGTTTTGTTGGCATCTATATTTGTATTTGTTATTTCTCCAAGCATTGACATTCTCTCTAGACTTCCTCTCACTACGCCAATTTGGCGGGAAGTGTGAGTTTTATTGATTAACACCTTTAAGATTCATTTTAAAATGAGTTTTTATAAAAAAGGCATAATTTGAGTCATAGAAAATAAGAAAATGTACTTGTCTTTGTTCCGCTTTGCTTTTATATTGCTTTGTTTCTTAAGTTCCGTGCTTCATTCAGAAATGATAACAAAAAGTTGAAAAGTGTTACGGATGTAAAAAAATGGTGGTAGTTATTGTTTTTGCTGCGTAGAAATTTTGCCAGTTTTTCATCTCTTTTATTTTTTTTTTGCCTATTCATTACTTCAGCGATTTCGAGGCCCTATAAAAAAACTTTCTCTTTGCGGTTGCAACTAATAGGAATATTTTAAGGTTAAGGTTTGTTTAGAAACGGTCGTAATGACTGCCAAAAACATAATGGCTTTGCACACATGACAAATTCCAACACAAGCGGATATAATCTTCCATCAATTATTTGTCTTCCTCTACACTCATATTGTTATACATATTTTGTTTGTTTTACTGATCAAAAATGTTATTTTTTTTTCTCTTATTATCAGGTTGCTGGTCTGGACTTGAATGGCGGCAGAGCTAATAATAGCAGCCCCATAACAACTAAAAGTTCTCTTTCTTCAAGCCAAACCGACGTTTATGTGCCACCACAATTAAGAGGTGACACTAATTTTGCACCAAAAACTTCAAATTCAAGTGATTCCCGTTACGAATCGCGTGGCGGTAATAGAGGTGGTGATCGTGATTCACAACGTGGTGGTGAATTTCGCAGAGGAGGCGGTGGTCGCAACTTCAATTCACGTGGTGGTGATCGTCAAAGTGGTGACTTTAGTAACTTTAGCGGACGTCGCGGTGGTGGAAGATACGACGATAATTATAACGGTAAATATAATACATTAATATTATGTAACAAAAACATCATGTTAACAACAAACACATTCCAGGTGATACTGATTCAAGACGCGGTGGTGACGACTGGAATCGCGGCGGCGGCAGATCTCAAAATAATCGCAACTTTGAACGTCGAGAGGACGGTGGCGGCGGCGGCTATCGCGGTGGTCGTGACCGACGTGATGACCCGCCACGCAACAATCGTTGGCAAGAGCCTGAACGTCGCCCTGATGATGGCGGCGAACGCAAGGACACAGATTCCGTCTCTGGCGATGCCAGCGGTGGTGGCAGCAACAACAGAGGTGGCGAACGCCGATATGGTGGTCGCTGGAACGAAGAACGCCGCGGCGATATTGATTACACCAAGCTGGGTCCGCGCGATGAACGCCTTGAAGCCGAGCTTTTCGGCACCGGTAATACCGGCATCAATTTTGACAAATACGAGGATATACCCGTGGAAGCGACGGGCAAAAATGTCCCAAACAACATCACATCCTTCGATGATGTGCAGCTGACAGAGATTATTCGCAATAATGTGCAAATGGCTAGATATGACAAACCGACACCGGTACAAAAATACGCGATCCCCATTATTATAAACGGACGCGATTTGATGGCTTGCGCCCAAACCGGTTCAGGCAAAACGGCTGCCTTTCTATTGCCGATATTGAATCAGATGTATGAGCATGGTATACCGCCACCTCCCCAAAACACTCGTGGCTACAATCGTCGCAAGCAGTATCCATTGGGTTTGGTGCTGGCACCAACTCGTGAATTGGCCACACAAATCTTCGAAGAGGCCAAAAAGTTTGCCTATCGTTCACGGATGCGCCCCGCAGTGTTGTATGGCGGCAATAATACTTCTGAGCAAATGCGCGAATTGGATCGCGGCTGCCACTTGATTGTGGCCACACCCGGCCGTTTGGAAGATATGATCACCAGAGGCAAGGTATGTTTAGATAACATTCGTTTCTTGGTATTGGATGAGGCCGATCGTATGTTGGACATGGGTTTCGAGCCCCAAATCAGACGTATTGTTGAAGATTCGAATATGCCCGGCAGGGGTCAGCGCCAAACGCTTATGTTCTCGGCCACTTTCCCCAAACAGATTCAAGAATTGGCATCTGATTTCTTAAGTAATTACATTTTCTTGGCTGTGGGCCGTGTAGGTTCCACATCTGAGAACATTACCCAAACCATTCTGTGGGTTCATGAGCAGGACAAGCGTTCGTATCTGCTCGATTTGTTGGAAACCATTCGGGCAGGCAGTGAATATTCGAAAGATTCGTTGACGCTTATTTTCGTTGAAACGAAAAAGGGCGCCGACGCCTTGGAGGAATTTTTATATCAGTGTAACCATCCTGTCACCAGTATCCATGGCGATCGTACCCAGAAGGAGCGTGAGGAAGCCTTGCGTTGTTTCCGTTCTGGTGATTGTCCCATACTTGTGGCCACTGCAGTAGCTGCTCGTGGCTTAGACATTCCCCACGTAAAGCATGTCATTAACTTTGATTTGCCCTCAGATGTAGAGGAATATGTACATCGTATTGGCCGTACCGGGCGTATGGGTAATCTGGGTGTTGCCACCTCGTTCTTTAATGAAAAGAATCGTAATATCTGTGCAGATTTGGTGGAGTTGTTGATTGAAACGAAACAGGAGTTGCCAAGCTTCTTGGAAGATATGATGGCTTCGGAGCGTTCACATGGCGGCAACAAGCGTCGTGGAGGTGGTGGCGGTCGTTATGGCGGTGGTTTTGGCTCTCGCGATTACCGTCAGCAATCCGGCGGTGGTGGTGGCGGTAATCGCGGCAGCAATAATCGCTCCTCGGGTAACCAAGGAGGCGGTGGTGGTGGCGGCTCCTATCGCAGCAATGGCAATTCCTACTACAACAGCTACGGCAACGATGGCGGCAACTATGGAGGAAATTCATCATCTGGTCCCGATTGGTGGGGCAATTAAATTCACACACACCCCCAATAACAAGAAAAACCGAGGAGAGAGATGATAATAGAATTTAAAAAAAAAAAGGAAAACAAAAACAAATACATTGAATATATTATATATAGAAAATAATTAAATAATACATAGTTGATCCAATAAAACACAAAAAAAAGAAAACAAAAATATCAGAATACAAACGAAAAGGAAATACAAAAAAACGGAAAATCCCAAAAACAAAAACTATAAGCAAAACAAAAATCTTTTTTTTTCGTCTTTTGAAATGCATACATATATTACAAGAATATATATAAAAAATATAAATATGAAAAAAAATATTTTATTTAAAAACAACCACAAAACAACAAACTTTTCTTTTTCCCTCACTTTTTATTTATGAAATTAGTTTTCTAATAATAATAATAAAAAAAATAATAATAGAATATTATTCATCACAAATCCAACGATAAAGAAGAAATGAATTAAAATCGCTGCAATTTTTTGAAACTACTAATTAGAATTTTCAAAATACCTATATAATTTTCTAATTCTTGAAGAAGAAACTCAATCCAACAAAACCAGCAACAACAAGAAATATTAAAACAAATGCAAATTAAATCTATTTAAAGAAAATCATAATTTTTGAAAAAAAATCCAACTTTTAATTTTTACTCACAACAGAACAATTTTTCTTAAACTAGCAAGCAAAAAAACAAGTAAATTCAAGATCACCTAAAAATAATTTGAAATAATATTTAACGAATGAAAATATGAATGTTTTAAATTGAAATTAAAAGGTAAACATAAAAACACAATTGCTAAACAAAATTTAAACAAAAACAATAAAACTAGATAAAAAAAAAAACCGTAAAACCCTAAACAAAGCTAGAATTGTTTGTGCTATTTGTTATTGATGGAAATTTGTTTAAAAGGTATGGATAAAATTTGAACTTGAGAATGGGTATAAAGAATTAGTTGATTCATCATTATTAGGATGGAGATTTTAACAGGTCTAGAGCATTCGGCATTTACATATATATTTAATCCGATTTCAATAGAATTCGGTAGAGTTGTGTGTCCAGGTTGTATGTTATCTCTCGTACCTAAATATCATTGTTGAGTTCATATCAAATATTACTTTGAGGAAACAACAAGTAAAAAACATTGCAAAATGTGCCAAAAATCATCAAAATACCTTATATCGGGAAATACCACTATGTGGGGCTATACAAAAACTTGGACCTAGACATACAATGTTTCGCCACACGAACCATTATGAACTACCAATACCAATTTTCAGACAAATCCGTGAAAAATGTGGAAAAAATCATCAAAATACCGAATATCGGGAGGTACGTGGAGGTAAAACGTGGACCGATATATGTCATTTTAAATACCAACCATCCTAGATACAATACAAATTATTCTGCTAAATTTTGACGCTCTACGTCAAAGAATGTGGGCTGTATCGTGATTTCAAAAGACAGACAGACAGACGGACATCGTTAAATCGACTTGGAATTTTATCCTGATTATGAATATATACACTTTATGAGGTCTACGACGAATATTTAGGGATGTTGCAAACGGAATGACAAAGTTAATATATCCTCCTTTCCCAGGTGGAGGGTATAAAAATACGAAATCGGACAAAACGTATGATTTACTCATAACTTGACAGGTTATCTTGGGATAACCATTTCACAGATAAAATTAGGATTTTACGTTTATAACAAATAAACCTGAAGTCGTGGAGAATATATGAAAGCCATATCCAAATCTGAAAAGAGAACAAATCTATGTTTCGTTCGTCTCGTAAAGTTCATACAGACTAAAAAGCATGCATAAATCTATCAGAATTCTATGGAGATTTTAAAAATAACAAAAATAACTGTGTGCCTATCTTGCCTTGTTCGGCGTAAATATGGTGTCTATGGTGATTATTTTTAGAAAGGAGTTAATCTAACCACAAAGAACCTTAAGTATCCAATCGTTCCAATCTAATTGATTGAAAATTGAGGCCAAAATACTGGGAATCAGGAGATGCTGTTTATGTGAGCTGTATTAAAACGTGAATCTACATGGAATATGTTTGCAAGTAGTTAGACTACTCAATGAGAACCTTCTAAATGCCGAAAATCAGAACGTACTCATAATTGAGGGCTACACATAGGACGTAGATGGATAGTTTCCATTCCATTCCATTCCATTTGTTTTTGTTAGTGAACCAACCTTTCCCCAAATGTTTGAAGTGCATATCAGATTACGTCAGCGGCTATATTGGCATATAATTGTACGCTGATCATGGATATGTATACAATATTGTTGTCATGGTAGTACAATATATGTTAGTGTTTTTAGGCTGCTAGTCAGGTTCTGCTTCTATATCCAGAATTAGAAAGTTAGCTACTTTCAAGGTGTGTAGGCAAAGATCCTGTGGAGCTGGGTAGGTTTGGCGGAATAATTGAAAAGATGCAGCGTTTATGCGGCCCTGTATCACACACTGGGCAGACGTTCCTCCAGCGTTCGAAAATAAACGGTATGGTACTGTACCGTAGTGTTCTGTACCGTCCCGAGGCGGAGTGGTAAGATAATGTACCGTACCGGAGCACAACCCTTAAAAAATATTTTAGTGATACTGTACCGGAGCACAACGAGAATCGTACTGTACCGCAGTCGGAACACATAGTGATACTGTTCCGGTACAGTACACTATGTTTGTGCACTGTTGATTTTCGGACGCTGCGTTCCTCACATCTTAATCAATTCGTGTGCAATACGACGGCTGCACATCTTGAACATAAAGGGTGATTTTTTTGAGGTTAGGATTTTCATGCATTAGTATTTGACAGATCACGTGGGATTTCAGACATGGTGTCAAAGAGAAAGATGCTCAGTATGCTTTGACATTTCATCATGAATAGACTTCTCATATGCCACAACGTCGAATTTTCAGTGAAAGTTGGCAGAAAATCCGCTTTTTTATCGACAAATTTTGTTCAGCGATGAGGCTCATTTCTGGTTGAATGGCTACGTAAATAAGCAAAATTGCTGCATTTGGAGTGAAGAGCAACCAGAAGCCGTTCAAGAACTGCCCATGCATCCCGAAAAATGCACTGTTTGGTGTGGTTTGTACGCTGGTGGAATCATTGGACCGTATTTTTTCAAAGATGCTGTTGGACGCAACGTTACGGTGAATGACGATCGCTATCGTTCGATGCTAACAAACTTTTTGTTGCCAACAATGGAAGAACTGAACTTGGTTGACACGTGGTTTCAACAAGATGGCGCTACATGCCACACAGCTCGCGATTCTATGGCCATTTTGAGGGAGAACTTCGGAGAACAATTCATCTCAAGAAATGGACCGGTAAGTTGGCCACCAAGATCATGCGATTTGACGCCTTTAGACTATTTATTGTGGGGCTACGTCAAGTCTAAAGTCTACAGAAATAAGCCAGCAACTATTCCAGCTTTGGAAGACAACATTTCCGAAGAAATTCGGGCTATTCCGGCCGAAATGCTCGAAAAAGTTGCCCAAAATTGGACTTTCCGAATGGACCACCTAAGACGCAGCCGCGGTCAACATTTAAATGAAATTATCTTCAAAAAGTAAATGTCATGGACCAATCTAACGTTTCAAATAAAGAACCGATGAGATTTTGCAAATTTTATGCGTTTTTTTTTTTTTTAAAGTTATCAAGCTCTTAACAAATCACTCTTTAGTTGAGCCAAAATTATTCTGGTTTGTCTAGACCGCCGATGGTATAAAAACAAAACACACATAGATCACGCTCTTTTTTTGTAGAAAGCTTGCCGAAAAGGAAAAATAATTGACAAATGACACTTTTCATCTGCTTCTCCCGAAAAATCACTTTTTGTTTTAGGGTCGTTTTTTATGTTCGTAATATTAATTTGAATACCTTCAAAACACATTTTTTCTTGGATTATTGCCAGGTATCACAACTTGTTTATTGCCGAAAAACTTGACGATACTAAGATGCTGGGGCTAAGTTTTTTTCAGTTGTATTCTTCTGAAAAATTTATTATCTTCATCACAACTAGGTTTATCCTCTTAAATGTTATATAATAAATAATTTGTAAGCTGCTGCTATTATTTCTAAAATCCTTTCAATTAATTATTGCTCCTCTCGATGAAATGTCTGACGTAAAATCCCCTGTTGGCGCCATTTTTCATAACCGCTAAAATATCTGAGTTACCAGATTGTTTATAATTGCTTTATAACGCCGTCTTCATGCATTTGTCAGTGCGTTGATCAAAATTACGCCGTTAGCAACTTTGTCAATGACACTGTGATATTTGTGAGTTAGTAGGCATCCGCAGTCGTTTCTTCTATTATAATTAATGCTAATTTTATGTACTTTCGTACAAATTCCTACAAAAATCAACAAACAGAAATTTTGAAAAAAAGGAATTATGTTACTATGAATCGTGCCGTATGAACGGACCCTGAGGACATAGCATAAGTCGAACAATCAACTGTGAATAGTCAAGTACTCGGTTTTCACCCAAGTCCATATTCGAGTTCGAGTTTCAGAACTTTGAGTACTCAAAGTCGATTAATCGGAAGTTGACTTACCTATCCCTAATTCGACACGTAAATAAACGAAATCCCCTTGGAAAAGAAGAGTTTTTCCCATTTTTTTCTGCGAAAATCGAAACTTTTAGAAGACAATGTCTACAAAAATGGAAAACACTAACGAAACAAATGAAAATGGCTGGGATTTGGATGACGATGACAATTGGGATGATTGGGGGGATGCCGAAGAAAATCCTACAATAGAGGAAACAATCAAAACAACAACAAATACGAATTCCCTGCCCAACAGAACTACAATTTCTGAAAATAATAATATCCAAAAAGACCAACAGCAGCGACAGGATAGTAATTGCAATGAACAGCAGCAACCTGCTAAAACGTCCAATAGTAATGGTGGTGGTGGTTGGGGCAGCTTGTTTGGTGGTGTAATGTCCACGGTCTTAAACACAGCCACCGAATTGACCAGCACAGTTACCCATGGCTTGGACAAAGTAATTGGTGTGCCCGATCCCGAGGAAATGGCACGAATCAATGCCTCACAAGAGGCCAGACTAAAGGCACAACAACAGCACGAGCCAGACGTCAAAACAAATGAAAAAGACAATGACGATGACGATGAGAGGTCTTTGACTCCCACCAAAGCCGGGCCTGTTTTTGGTTTAAATCTCGTGAGTAATGTAACATCTTTGGGTAGCAAGGTGTTGAACACCGGTCTAGATACTCTGGAGGGTATTGGTAAGAAGACTATGAATATATTACAAGAAAATGATCCGTTGCTAAAGAACAAGATAAAGAAACTGGGCTTGGAAAAGGAGAAATGTAATCTAACAGAGGTAAGGTGTTGTGTGGTTTAAAGCAGAATAATTTTTTTATTAATTTTGGTTTAAAATTTCAGATTCTCAAAGAAGCCAAAAAGGAAACGGAACAACTTGAACAATCCATGAGAGAGTTGAATATTGAAAAAATGAAAGCTCAACTAAGATTTGAAGTTTTGTTTGAAAATTATTGTGGTCTGGTGCATATGGAAGCATTAGAAATCCTATCCAAAGAGTCACAATTGAAATTGCAAACCCTCAAAGAATCGGTTAGTGGTAAAGCTCGAGAAGAGCTATTGGAAACTTTAAATGAAGTAAAAGAGCTAATGGAATTGGAAGATTTAGAGGGTGAACCTGAGACGGAAGACTATAGTGGCACTGATTTGGGTGAAAAACTTAAAGAAGCCATACAAGATACGGAGCTTAAAATTAATTTTGATGAAATTACGAAGTAAGTTTTGAATGATAGAATTTTTAGAAGTAACTATAAGAAAAAGTAATTTTTCTCTTCTCTTTAGCTTGTGGTCCTCAGCAGTTGCCTGGTTCGAGACCGAAGAATCCCACAATGCCGAGGTACAACCAATTTTTGCCAAAGCAGTAACCACCCTGGCCGAAACATGTGCTTTGGAAATTTTGAAATTACACAAAATTGCCGAGTTGCTTTTGATCCAAGACCATCATAGCACTGCCAATGAGGTGGATGGTGTAGTGCAGTTGTGTAAACTATTCAATATTCACTTACAGGTGGTGGCAAATCGTTTTGCCAGCCACTTGAGCACGCACGAACAACAAGATGAAGCCAAAACGAATATAACAACGATATTCACAGAAATGGTACAGGCACGGCAGCAGATTGAAAATGCCTTTAAACTATTTCTGCCCATAATACAAATTGGAGCAGTGTGAAGTAGATAGGAGGCGGACCAATGATTCCATAAATAAAATTAATCCACCCCAAACCAGTTTATCTATAAATTTGTATAAGATTTAGATTTTCATTTTTCTTTTCGTTTCTAATTTAACTGTAATTGTTATTAATTATATTGTATGCTGTGTAATGTGATGTTTTCCAAAATAAAGAAAAAAGAGAGGAGTAACAAATGTGTGTTGTGGAATCTTCCATTGATTCTTTTATAGATAAAGACCACTAGAAGTCATCTCGGAAAGGAAGATTAGCGAGTTTTATATAGGTCAGGGCCAAATTCTCGCATTTAATGTACAACCTCTATTGTAACGTATTTCAATATCTATAATTCGTCTTGACTTGATCCAAAAATTTCGATAGAAACGATAAAATATTGAATGAATAGACTCCATTCGTTTCTATCAAAATTGTAATTTTTTAATCTAAAATGGGCATCGAATGACATCCAGGTAGTCATCTCTTTGGGAAATGCTTCCATTCAATATCGATAAAATGTCGATCTCATTTGTCAATTTTAGCTTGTTTTAATTGGAAATATCAGTAGAAGTTACTAAATTTTAAAAGTTGGAATGGAATACCATTTGTTCCTACATTTTTTTTTTCAGTATAAAATGAGCAGATAAAAATTTATTTCGATCGAAATTTTTCAATATCGAATGCAAGAATTTGTCCTCTGGATAAAGGCTCTACAGGGTGAGATAAAAAAAAACCGCAACAAAGTCAAACGCCATCATTTTTACATTTTTTTAATTGAAAGAAAGCAACAAATGTCGGACATAGCATCAAATTTTAGAATAAATTTAGATTTGTTTAAATTGGTCACCTCTGGCACGAATTATGGCCTTCAAACCCCCAATGAAACCGTCACACGGTGCCCGAATATTGCGGTATTTTGGCCCATTCCCGGCGAAGCGCTTGCTTGAGGTGATCGATACTTTGGTATTTTTTATTGCCAACCTTGCTTTCCAAAATACTCCTGACATAATAGTCCAACGAATTGGTATCCGGAGATTTTGGTGGCCATTGAGCGCTGGAAATGAAGCGAGGAACTCCATTTTGTAACCTTTCTTGTGTGGCGCGTGCTAAGTGCGATGGTGCTGAGTCCTGTTGGAATGTCCAAGGTTTGTGGCCCAAGGCTTTAATATACCCTCCAGAATATTTCCGCCATAATATTCGACATTTATTCTGATGCCACAGTCGTTTAATACGAGCGCGGAGAGCGACCATCGGCTGTTATGGCGGCCCACATAATCAACATGGCCGGCGCTTGAGTTCTGGTGGTCAACCGAAGGTGCAAATTTTCAGCCTACCTCTCTGGCAAGTAAACACGATCACTTTGTTTGTTTACAAACTGCTGGACAACGAATGTTTGCTCATCGGAGGAAACCAAATTCGGCAGTTCACCACTTTCGGCCCAGCAGAGCAACTCTTTAGCTCTTTTGAGTCTATTTTTTCGATCTGTTGCAGTGTAAGTTCTTGCACTTTTTGCAATTTTAATGACTTTACCCCGAGCTCATTTTTCAATATTTTCCGAATGGAATATTGCGATATGTTCAGCACACGAGCCATTTTTCGGTCACTGCGTTGCGGGTTTCGATCAAATCGCTTCTTTATTTTTCGAACCACATCTGCTGATGTTGCTGTTTTCTTCCGTCCACTTCCTTGACATCGGGCTACGCTACCAGCATCACGGTAACGAACGATGGTACGGGACACAAAAGATTTATTCACATATAAATGCTGGAATGTTCTAACCATAGCCACTTGTGGTTTCCAGCCAAATATAAAGATATCACGCTTGAATTCCATCACGAATAACTTTTTTTTCTGGAAAATTCTCACCAAAATGCTTTTGTACGCTTTTAAACAATATAATGAGCTGTCACTGGAATAATTTTAACAACTGTCGGACAAGTGGCTTAGAAATGACAGCAGTCTTAAGTTGGTTGCAGTTTTTTCATCTCACCCTGTAGAAATTCATTTCGATCGAAATTTTTCGATATCGAAAATTACGCTTTAGTTTTAATCATTTCTTTCATCACTTCAAAATTGTACATTTTCGTGTTAAAAAAACAAAGACTCAATAAATTTGAATTGAATTGAAAATTCCCTGAAAAAGTTTTCTTTTTTCAATATTTGTCTTTTATAAAACATTTTATTTGTTATCATTTTATGCTGTTGTTTTTGTTTGTTGGTTGTTTTATACAAAGAGTTACTAATAGTTGCTTAACAAATGTTAAACGCATACATAGCTATATTCAAATTAGGATGCAATCAATGTTTTATTGGTTGGGAGGAGGGAGAGAGTTTTAATTTTTTTTTTTTTTAATTTTTATAAACTATACTATGGTTTGTTTCTGAATAATAATAATTTAAGAAACAACTTAATCTAAAAATTAAAGTTGAAAAACCAATGTTGACTACCAAAAAAACGTCGAGTTGTTGATTATTTGTGTGTGTGTTGGGGGGGTGTGAATCTTTCATTGTGTTTTATTTTTCCTTCAAATGCATCATATTCGATTAATAACAACAACATGAAAGAAGAACAACAAAACAGGCCATGGGTTCAAAATCTTAAGTCAGGTTTATATTTCGCCATGTATCTGGAAACGACAACAAATTAGTTGGCTTAGATTTGCTTTTTTAATATTTTCAAAAATCACTTACTTGTCCAATGTTTCCCAGAATGTCATTAATACTGCACGATCTAAATGTCGTTTGTTCTGTGACAGATTCAGTAAAGTGACAGACCATTTTCCCACATTGGCATCCAACTTAAGTTCACTGAAACGCAAATGGAAGGCGCAAACTGCAAAATAACAAAAATTAAATAAAAATTTTGCGCCAATGGGAGTCCCTTCAAAACTCTTACTTTTGGAGAAAATTTCCACCGGATTGCCATCCCATGGCCAACCCTTAAATTGCCAAGCGGGTCCCATAACAAATACCGCAACGACACGTTGCCAATCTTGGGCAGTCAATTTCTGTGGATTATCAATTACACGGTATGGTACGGTCATGTTTTGTTTCTTGCGCTGGAAGAGAAAATAACAATTAACAAATAATTAGGAGTATTAGAAAGTCTTCAATACTCACCTGCAAGAGTACTTCATTATCTCTGCTACAGCCAGCTCGTTTCTTTTCATCGGTACTAACATATTTTAAATCTTGCAGTATATCACGGACATTGTACATGGTTATGAGACTAGTATTAGCCGAGGGTATAATTATAATGGGTGTACGCGAGACACGTTTTTGGGGTGTGGGTGCCACTTGGCGGGCCTGGGCTGTGGGCAAAAGCTCCTTGGGACGACCTGTTTTACAAATAGAACAAAAAAAAAGGAATTAATTCAATTCCGACACGAAATCAATTCCTAGAATAACAATGTTTATAATTTAAGAAGGATTTCTAAATTTGATTGTTTGCTAAACAATATTCTTTTAATAAATCGCTTTGATTGGTTTCCGATCCCACATCATAACTTTTTTCTTTGGTTTAGAAGACACAGATTAGTCAGAAATTATTTTTCATTTTCCATACTCACCAATTTGTGGCGTCATTTGGGCCTTGCGCTGAGCCTGAGATCCTTCTGTCACAGATTTCAATGACATACCGTGATAGGTACCCATTGTATCGATTTTAAAGCCCTCAGTTTCTGTAGAAAAAAATTAAACAAATTTAGACCAGACATTCAAACCAACCCTCTCCACACCATTCCGCCAACTTACCCTCCTTTTGCCTATTAAATCTTTCCTGATCGTAACGATTATATTGTGTCAATTGCGGTTGTGGCTTATTAATTCTGGCCGGTTCGGGCATTTTTATGGGATTCTGTTGTATGGGTCGATTACGACCCTCTTCCCTTGCCTTGATGCCCTGCAGTATGGCAAATATATTTTTGGCGAAAATTTTACCAGTACTCTGTAAAATTGTAGTACGCGTACGCCATTGTCGTTCCCGGCTGATAATATCCTTGGTTGAATCAACATCAAAATCTAGGATTGCCCTCAAATCGGTGGCCATGGCATCTTCATTGTCTGAACGTTTAATGGTTGTTCTCTTATTGGCCAAACGTTTGGCTTTGATGGCGGCAATTTTCTCCACCGACATAGTTTCCGACAATGACTTGATATTGTCCATGTTGACGGTGGCCTCCTTTTTGTTAACATCCCAACGTGCAGCCAATTGCTCACGTACCTTTTGAACTTGGGTCTCTTCGAAGCGGGCCTTTTTGGCCAGACCCTCCCCGCCAGCTGAATCTCCATCGGCCGGACGTTTCACCTGAGTGGGTATTTCAAGGGGAGCACTTTTATCAATGCTTGGGCAGGTGTTGGTTTCGCCATTGAGATAGGCCAACAGTTCTTTACGATCCGGACGATTGACAGCTGGTATATCCTCGGCGGCACACTGACGCACATACACCGAATGCTGCAGCAAAACATTTTTCAGCAAATACAACAGACACTCGAGCGTATAGTATTCTCGCGGTCCGGCCTTTTTGCCCGAACTACAGAAAAACAACAACGTCAAAACATATCCATACCATTAGATCGACATCCCATCATCTTACCCATATTTCAAATAATTCGTCTTAACATTTTTTGGCCATGAGAATTCACCAAATATAATCTGTCCATCACGTTCAATGATTTCTCGTTTGTTTATGTTGTACTGCCGCAATAAACTCAAGGGATCCGCCATTTTTTAGCAATCAACAAAACCAAGTATTTTCTATCTTTTTTGGATCCCCAGTACTTTGCACATTTACTTGGTTCTTCTTTGCCTATGAATTTTATAGATTTTTTCACTTTTTTCGAACAATTCCGTTGTTATATTTAACTCCTCTGATAAAAAAAAAATTATTCCTTTTAGTATTTTCTCTCTCTTGGGTCTTGTTTGACGTTTACTTTGTATTATGCTCTCGGTTGTCAACGTGTGATAGGGACTTGTAGGTCGATTTTTGATTAATCGATTAATCGACTTTTTATAGGAACATATGAAATGGAAGGCATTAATTAGTGGAAAATTAAGAATTTTTTTACTTGTGTTAATATTTTGTCTTATATCGACACTTTTCAATTCGTAATGGGCATATTAACTCATACTGCGCTATTTTTACAGTTTTTTGAAGTATAAAACTCGGTTATGTGAATCGCAAACATTAATTACACAATCAATGGCTATAGTCGACCTATGTATCTCTATCTCAGGACGGGCAATTTTAAATTTGTGGTGTACTTGTAATATGTGTATTTAAATAAAACTAATCGCTGTTTTTTGGATTTTGGGTAAACACTATTGTTATTTTCCCGAACCTGTAATATAACACTAATGCTCTGTTCCAGAACTGCAAGAGTGTAATACTTTTTATTACGATAACCGATTTTTCCTTTATGAAATCAAAAAAAAAAAAAAAAAATACAAAACTAAAAGATTCTTGCAAGTACTATTTTTAACATTTAAATATAATTTAATTTTTTCTACAACCTGCAATAATCTTACAGCTTTGCAATATTTTCGATATCATAAAAGAAAAATCGTTTATCGTAGTAAAAAGTTTTGCATTCTTGCAGTTTGGGAACAGAGCAATATTTAATCAAAAGTATCTGTATTTAAAAGTGTTCCATTAAAAACTTCGAATAATGGTGACACGGTTGGATAATACAGTTAAAGTTTTCAAAATCCAATAAAGTGGGTGGAACCTTTATATGGGGCCATATCAAAACGGGAACAACAACAATAGACAATTGCGAGTCTTAAAATACAAATTTGAAAAAAAAATCCGTGAAAAAATGTGGCTAGTATCATCAGTAGATTGATTTTCGGTGGGTTATATTGATACAATGTAGCAATATGGACGTTGTTTGTACATCAGTTGTAGAACCCCTTTAAATACTACACATACCAAATTTTATACAAATCTGCTAGCAAATGTGGTAAAAATCGTCAGTAACCCGAATATCCGAACCATTCCGCTATGGTAAAACGTGGACCTACACCGACAATGTTTTGCTACCAGAGGTAGAACTCGTTTCAAACCCTTAATATCAAATTTGAAACCATTCTGGGAAAAAATATGGCCAAAATAATCAAAATACCAAATTTCTGGAGGTACCGTTATATGGGGACTATACAAAAGCGTGGACCGATGTACCTCATTTTCAATACCAACCACTTTAGACACAATATTTCAAAGCTCTACGTTAAATAATTGATTTGTTCCAGAACATCCAAGCTTTTCTATTATCTCTTTTAATCCTTATCCTTAGTTTTTTTTTTTTTTTTCAAATTTACACATTTTACAACATCTCATTGTCGAAATCTATATTTTAGTTTGATCGATTTCTAAAAAGTAGTGCATTTTCTGTAATTATGCTGGTAACATTAAACTGTAGAGAAAATAGTTTTCCATCACTGATCTGCCTGCATACATACGTGTGCTCTGTTCCAAATCCTGCAATAATCTACAATTTTTGCAATTTTTTCGAAATTGCAAAACTATTAGCCGGCCAGAAAAACGTTTTATGTTTTCCCAACTTTAGTATATGCACCGCATTAACGAAATTCCAGATTCAAATGTCAAAAGAACAAATTCCTTTTCCTGCCCTCATTAACAAAAGCAATGTCAAGTGAACTGATATAAACAAGAAAAACGACATCTCTAGACGACGGGTTGTGTTAGTTTCAATTTCTTTGTTATCGATAACACAATTTTAGCCATCGCTCCCAATGTTATCTTTGTTGAAGAAAACTTCCCTCCCCCTGTACCAAATACTGTACAACTTGTACCTTTTCCCAACTGTCTCTCACTCCTATCGTGTATGGTGTTTTGAAAGAAATCCCTACATGTGTGAATGAATTGTTGTGTGAATTTTGTTGTTTTATCGACAGAAAAAAAATATGATAAAATATTCTCATGAAATAAAAAATTCGATAAAATAATTCAAACGCAGGAAAGTGCAAAAAACTGAAGTGAATTAAAATGCTGCGTCTGTAAAAAGTGTCAAATTAGTTAATAAGTTTTAAAGAGTGAAATATTTGGTGCTGGTTGGTATTTTTCCTTCTTGTTCAGCTGGTGCTCTGCTGGCTGCTGACCCTCAAAAAACCTATAACGAAGTAATATGGGAGCATCAGGCAGTAAAATAGGTAAGTTTTGTGTCCAAAAGAATTGTCGATCAACAATTTAAGAAACTCCCTTCAAGTTGGAAAACTTTATAAAATGTTAATAATCTTATTGGCAATTTTTGTCTCCTTGACTGTGCCTCACTCAACTCATTCAATAGTATATTTGCGGCATAATTGTGCATGCCATCACCTACCTTCCGCAGTTGTTGGTTGGTTTGGTTGGCTGCTTGTTTGTGTGTCGAGGGTGGGAGGTGTATGTGTGTTGTTATTATTTTTGTTGTTGCTGCACTTTGTTATTGTAACGTGAGAAAATTTTTGATGCCAAAGAAAATGATGTTGCCACATCGGTGCAGTAAATAGGAGAAACAAAGGGGATTTATTTGTTTGTGTCACAGCTGAACGCAGTTCTAATTGGGAAATTGAAGGGGGATTGCAGTAAAACTTTTTGGAAATGAATGTGAAACTCAAAAATTTTAAGACGTGAATGGTGGGCATAAGAGATATATGTCGATGATTATGTTATTTTATCAAATAATTAATCACATTTTTCACTTTCGTAATCATGATATTGGTAGCAGTCAGCAAATATTGCAAAGCTGTCAGTCTCTCTCTCTCCCTGTAATAGAGAGTAATATGATGTTTAGTTAATTGGGGAATACTCCAAATTTGTTCGAGTTCGGCGAATATTTTTTTTCACTTTCGGGACCTATCAATTGGCCGCCCAGATTGTGCGATTTACCGGATTTAGTATATACAGCCGAGCCCGATCCAATTGACCCCTTGGAAGACAACACTGAAGCATTTATTCTTGAGTTAATGGTCAAAATGTTGAAAAGAAAACGTATGCCAAAATTGATCTACAAACACTAAATTATATGAACCGTACTCTCAATTCGAATGAAGATTTCAGGCATTTTTCGGAATGTTATGTATTTTTGGTTGTTCATCTAATTTAGTTATGGTTCAAGCTGCTTTAAAAGCCTGTAGCACATGTCTTCGGCTGTGGCTTGGAAGGCCAATTGCAAGGATGCAGACACCGTGCTATCTGCCTGCCCGCACGATAGACATATGGTTGTTGAGCATGTTAACTATGCTCAACGTAGCTCAACGCCTCCCAAAAATTGTGAATGTAAGTTCACAATCGTTCGATATTTTGTAGAGTTCGGCCAACCAATTCATAGAATAACTCCTCTCAATATAACATTAAATATGAAATATTTAGTGGTTTTGGTTTTCACTATCAATTCACTCCAATATTCTTAGATACCGGTGATGATCAAAAGGGTCTTCGCCAATAAAAATCAGATCCAGAATTTCCGTAGAGCCATGTTTGTAACTTTTACAACATTTATTTTTTCTCCAAATTGGAAAGGAGGGTATATTAACTTTGTCGTTCTGTTTGTAACATCCTTAAATATTCGTCGTAGAACCCCCGCATAAATTCTAAGTGGTTGTTCGTCAGTTGAAATACCGGTACTATCCACATTATTTGACGTAGAGCTTCAAACTTTGGCAGAAAATTGAATTTTTGTCTAGGATATGTTGTGTTGAAAGTTAGATATTTCGGTCCATGGTTTTGTATAGCCCCCCTACAACGGTACCTCCTGATAATCGGTTTTATAATGGTTTTTGCCACTTTTTTTTCGGATATGTCTTAAAATTGGTATTTGTAGGCAGAACATTGAATATTTAGTTTCACGTTTTCGTATAGCGCACATATAACGATACCCGCCTAATTCGGTATTTTGATAATCCTATTCACATTTACCCACGAAATTGTTTCAAATTTGGTACTTTAGAAAATTTGTTAGATGACAATCCTTGAAGTACAAAATCGTCTATAGATTGGCCCCATGTAACGGCCTAACCCACATTTCTTTCCTTTTTATTTCAATAATAGAAATTAGGGGGTATTTTAATTAATACCTCTGTGGTAGCCCCTTTCTTTAAGGATACAAAAGAACACTTGTTTCGATTTTGGCCAAAAAAAATGTCTCTTTAGAATTGTCTACTAAAATTCAAATACCTGTTACAATTTCTTGTCTATATCTTGGAAATTGAATAGAAATGGAACATTGTGGAAAAAGGATAACCTCCATCTATCTAAAACTAAATAGACACATAGACAGGGAGGTAGAAAAAGAATTCCACAAAAGGGAAAAATGTATCGGTTATAAAAATTATTTAATTTATAGAAATAGATTTTACACAAAACAGCGGGACCTTGACTATTCCGCTTACATACACACACCTAACCTTTGGACAATAACAAAATTACTCAAGGTTTTGGTGTTTTTTTTTTCAGTTTTGGCACAGAATGCCATGGAGTAATAGTCAGCCAGTGATGCTGCTGTGCACCACCTTCAAATTTTTAAATTGATAGAAACCCCCAATAAGCATTGAGAAATTCTCTGGCGATTTTTTCCCTCAAAAATAGGATACAGGTAAAATGTAATGCTGCCACTCGCCACCTTGGCACAGGTAAAATGCCACAAACCAAATGTCCTTACAATGACCGAAACTAACTCATCTCATCTTCCCTGCACCAACGGCATGTGTTCCGTTCGGGCCCACACAAACAACATGTGATGAGGACAACAATGCAATTGCAAGGATACAATATCGAAAGAGGGATGAAATGCACACACATACACACAAATACTTCGATCATAACCATGCGTATTTTTTTCGAAATACCACATGTACCAATGGAAAATCAAAATCACAATGCTTTCCTTGGAAACTACGCAAACAATTAAAGAATTCATTCCTTTCAACGTTCTTCGATTTC